TGTTTAGACCCTCTTAGAGTTTAAGAAAGCAAATAAAACAAATTAGTTAAAAGAACACAGTACTGTCATATTTCCAACTGTGATGCACAACAAATAATGTGACAGTTATTTGCATGGTTGAGATATTTGGAATAAGGGCTTGATCCTTGAAAATTAATATAATGAATATTTAATACCAATGCCTGCTGAAAATGTTTCACATGGAGGATCATCAAACTAATTTATTTTCCACTTCAACAGGTGGAGCTTAGTTCATGTTTGTATCTCTGTATCACTTCTTGGAGAGCTTGCAGCAATTAAGGCCATAATCATAGCTAAATAAACAGAACAAGCTTCTGCAGAACAAGCCTCAGAACAAAATCACACAGCAGCTTCCTTCCCAGACCCACCCACTGTTTCCCCCACTGCACAAGGAGAAAAGGAGCCTTTGACATTGTGCTGGGGTTGAAAAGCTTTAATCTCAACTGCTGGTTGAAGATAAGAACTTTATCCTTCTGGGAACAGGGAGCAGAGCCTGTGGAAGAAGCTGCCAGGCTGTATGGAGAAGTCCCTTGGACTATATCCAACCTATAAAGTAGAGGTTCTTTGTTACATAGAATATAGTTCCTGATCTAAAAGTTTGTGGTGAACAGAACTTGGATGGACTATAAAGAAGGGACAGAATTTACCCAGAAAATCCCAGGCTCCAAGCTCTCTGGTTGCTGCTGGCATGGCTGACTGAGGAATCTTCTCCATCCACTTACCTGCAGCTGACAACCTGAAAGTAGCTTCAATAGAGTTGCACAAGCATTTTAAAACATTCTTTAAAGGGGCCAGGAAATGTTCCATATCATCAATCCACAACAAAACCATTCCTGAACTCAGAAGAGGAAACACATGTCATTCACACAAAAGAGAATGACTTCAGCATGTAGCACATGCACAGCTATTAAAGACACTGTCCTGTCTTGTATACCTGGATATGAAGTATATGGAGCTTGTGTCCTGTTAGTGTTACCTGCAGTAGTAGGCTAATCATAGCTCTGCTCGTGGCTGCCATTATATAGGGAACTGCAATGTTCTTTAGCCACATTCCCTTCTATTGAAAGCCAGAACTGGCCTCCTTCCTGTTGGGCTCCTGCCCCAGCAGAGAGAAATGAGATACTCTGAGCCACATCTCCTTTTAAGGCAATCCAAGGTTCCCAGCTGGAACAACTTGGCTGAGAGGGCGGGAGGCAGAACACAGAAAGCAAATGTTCAAGATATGTTGAACTGAGGTGGGGAGACTGATGAAGACAGACAACTGAGGGAAATATTTACTTACGGTCGGGGCCTTTCAGAGCATGAAACAGCTGCCTTGGCTCAAATGCCACAGAATCCCCCATCCTTTGTTCCTTCTGTGCTGTACAGTGTAACATAGAATTTTGGAGGAGCTGCTAAGGCAAACCTGAGACCTTTAGCTTGCAGCTGCAGCAACAATAAAAGCAGCAACTTGTCATTTAGCCAGCACGCTTCAGTCTTTCCCCTTGTTTTGGGAGAAGGTCATTTTGAATGATTGCATGCACAGCCTTTCCCTAGTAAGGTAGTACAGTGATGGAGAGAGCTTTTTTCTGAATTTTCTCTTTTATGTGGCTGCAAAGTGTCTATGGTTTGATCAGCTGGCATTCTTTTTTTTCCTTCACAGTTCTATCTGTATTTTCATGTGGATGCCAACTTCCTGCAAAGTTAGTGCTTGCTTGTGGCATTTCATCACCCCCTCTGCTTTACTTGGCATCCTGTGATGCAGACAGTTGCATGAAAGTTTGCAAGCAATTCTGGATCAAACTGGAAAGACATGCCATTTTTATCAAGTCCAAAATATTGCACCTGATAGGAAAATTACTCAGGAAGCATGTTCTTTCTTGTGATCTGTTTCTGCTGAAATATTTAATTTCTGAAAAAAAGGGTCAATTGTTGTCTAAAACTATACAATAATAAAGCTGCAAAAGTGAGAAATTGGTTCCTGTTATATTCACTAGGCATGACATAAGCGATCCATGGGCAGCATCTTCCATATTTTTTCTCTTTTAGCAGCCCCATATAGCGCTTTCTGAAGATTGGGCTGTGGTGCTCTTATCTTCTTTTGCTGTTTCACCAGTCGGATCACTCACCCTGCCAATCCATTGTTCGCCTGGAGCAAAGAGAACTGTCAGAAGCAGAGACTTCCGGCAGCAGTGCCTCCAAGGAATCAGAAACAGTTCCCAACCCTTGCAAGTGGGGCCCTCATACATCCTGTCCTCTGGACACCCAGGAGGTGCTGCCTCCCTTTGACTCCAAGGACTGCACCTTGTCAAACCCTCACCACCTGGAAGGAACCAGTTACCACAAGAAAGGCCACTCACTCATTAAAAAAAAGTTGCACATCTGGGAAAGGAACTTTCAGAATGACCTTCCTGGGCTGACTATACAGTGCTGTCAGCTGCTCTAAGCCAGTGCTGGGGAAACTTGCCTTTACTTGAGCTGTTGGCATGCTCTCTATGGTGCTGAACCTACTGCACTTGTGTATCAAAATACACATTACTTTAACTCTGCCTTTTGTTTGCTTGTTTTTATGCTAGAGTGGATGTAGATGGCCCAAAATGGATCTTAATCCTCCCACCCCTTAGCCTCCATGCCTCTGGACTTGGGAGACAGGACTGTGAGGGAGAGCACTTTCTTTTTGTCTTTTATGGTAGTTGAAGCTCCAAGAGCTCTGTGAAGGAAAACATGTTGCCACCTGATACATCTAGCTCTAAATGTTGTAACGGTTGTCTATACAGAGTTTGAATAAGGGCTTAGATCCTCCATATGTCCGGATCAGTCTTTGTCTAAAGATTACTGGATACAGCTAAGGGAAGTTATGATGTGGCGCATGTTCACTAAGGTCCATGTTCTCCTTTTTATAAATCAAAGTTAGTAACTATTATTTGACTGCTTTGTTTTTAGTGAGGAGAAGGTGTTCAGTCCAAGCTACTTTCCTTCTACAGTAAGAAGAAAGAGATCACTTATATTTGCAAAACGAAACGCAGACTGGTATAGAAAGCTCTTAGTCGAAATGAAGATTCAGTTGATAAAATCTTCTCCTCACCTGACACTCATACACTTTTTCCCCAGATGAGCAAATAGTATCAACTGGGTCTCTGTGTGGAACTTGCTTAGGAAAACCCTTCTTGCTTAGGCACCAAGAGCAGCTTCTGCACTTGGACGTGTTCTGAAGGTTTGATTTTTCTATCTCTAGTTTTAGAGGCTGAAACAATAGCATGCATCCGGTGCATATGGCAACTTCATTTTTAGCTTGATCTGGAGATAAAGTTCCTGTGCTCTCAAATGATGCTCTATCTTCTAATGATTGTCTTTGTTTCCTCCTCAACAATGAGTGCTGGCTGCCCCTACACTGACATGCCCTTCTGTTTTATGATGTCGTTCTCTTTTATGAGTTGGCAGATTTATGTATATATCCTGGATGGCAATGTATTAGTACAGTATTGTTTGAGTGCTTAAATCCTTGGAATTATGGCCTGGGGTCCCCAGTGTGTTGCCCGTCCACACATGGACACCTCTCTTGTTGATTGCCAAGCCCCCTGCTACTGCTGATTTTCTTTTATTTCTTATTTAAACAAAAACAAAAACGGAGAAGCTGTCCTGCTGCAAAGCAAAGGGCTATCTGCCAGTGGCATCTCTGGGTTCAAGACAGTGGTTTTGGATTTTAAAACTCAGATCCTCCCCCTTTTGTCTTGCCTGTTTGCCTTCTGAAAAATGAGTGTGTTTTGATTTCCTATGTTAACCATTTTATGAATGGGCAATCCCTTTCCATGGTAGACATTTTGTAAGAGCATCCATGACACTCTCAGAAATCCAGAAATGCTCTCTCAACTTGGGGACATATTAAAGGGAACTTTTATCAATTTGTTACTAGTGTTGCTAGCTTGGCGAATTCAAATTGGCCTCATGATTTTTGGGACCCTTTGCCTTGGAGTACATGTTCCATGCTACATCTGGAGCTGAGGAAGAGGCAATTTTATTCTTTAGGAAACTTATTCACATGAAGCATTGTATTTAGGGCACTTGTTCTGTAAAATGATCCCCAGATGTTGTTAACTGCTCAGAGGGCATCAGTACTGAGCAAACAACACATTTCTGCAATGCCAAGTGAGTAGTGTTGCCTGGCTGCAACTCAAGAGTGTTGCATTCTGCCCTTTAATTCCCAATGAAGCAACAATGAGGTGGCTGCAGTCTGTTCTGCCCAGTTCCTGACCCTGTTCCTTCTGCACGTCCTCCTTACTTGCGCTTATGACACACTGGAGTTCTGCTTGCTACGTGTGGGAGAGAATGAGGGACTTCCCTCCCCTGTGTAGTGTTTGCTGTATCTAACTATTCAGTTCATCCTCAACATTCTTGGTACAGAAATAAATGCAAGACAGGAAACCACAGGAAGCAAGCCACTGACTGTTGAGACCACGTGCGATGCAAAGACTCCTTCAAATCTCCTTGAAGCCTGCCTGCAGATTACTGAAGCCAACAGTCATATAATATACCGCTCTCCCTCTATCCCAGATGCTTCTGTTGCTGGCTCAGAGAAGGGACCATCCTAATCACATGTGCATTGGGAGGTACCATTTGTTCCTCTTATTCCTGTGCTTATCTTCATACAGGTGTGCTGTAAAAGCACACAGATTAGTGCAGGAACAAGGAAGCAATGGAAGTCAAAGTACAAACCCGAGCAGGGAAAAAGTGGGCCAGTAATATGGACACAACCTTTCTTACAGTAGTGTGCTAGCAGTTTCCAGGGTTCCAGCATCTGGCCCGTGCTAAAGGAGTTTGCTGTGACATATGCAGGAACCCTAGTTCTTGCAGGGTGATTATGTGCCTTAATAGATTTTTTTGAATACTTTCTTGTCAGTTCAGATAAGAACTTCAGTTAACCCCCCCTGTGCCCCTGCCCACCCCACATTTTCATTTGTGTTCAAGCAGTTAACATTTTTCTTATTTATCCTCTTTAACAGGATGCCAAACTGGGGTGGAGGAAAAAAGTGTGGCGTATGCCAGAAAACAGTATACTTTGCTGAGGAGGTACAATGTGAAGGCAACAGTTTCCACAAATCATGCTTCTTGTGCAGTAAGTATAGCACCCCAAGGGAGGTTTTGGTTCATAAGGGTTCTACTTACTCCAGTCTGCTTACTGTTGCTACCATGGTAAATAAAGTCAGATTCCTTTAGTTGCTTGTGGGTTACAAGATGATATTTGGCTTTGCTGCCACAGATCTAAGGAGCAACCTAGCTTTTGGTTTCTTATCTTTTTGATAAGAGAGAAGAAAGGAAGGAAAGTTGATTAAATTTTTGCAGATGTTTTTGTTCTGCACCCTCTCAACAAAAAGAGAAACATTTTTGAATGATGTTTGATTATATTCTCTTAGGACAGTGCCCACAAGAAGAATCAAAGGGGTTTCTATTGATACTGTTCATATCAGGTCAGCTATGTTGGTCAGTTAAGCAAGTAAGCAGGAATAAGTGTTCTGTGTAACTCAGAAGTTTAATTTTCCGCCCTTCTCGACTGTATTGCCTTGCACAAGCAAAGCCACCACAATAAAAGATACAGCAGCAGTTCTGAGCATTTACTGAGACATACAGTTCCTTGCAGAAGTACTCCCCCTCCCCTCATTTTGATTTTCCCATGCTTTTTACAACCTGGAATTGAAATGGATTTAATTGGCATTGTTGCCAACCCATGTACACCAGATATTCAACATTATGAGGGTGAAGTATTTCTTAATGTGGCACAAAAGGTAAGTAAACAAAAATGATCTACTCCTTGAGTCAATATTTGATAGAAGCACCTTTGGCAGAAATTGCAACTGCATGTCTTCTTGGACTTGGATAAGTCTCCATCTACTTTGCACATCTGGATCTTTCAAAGTTTACCTTTTCTGCCTGGCAAAACTGTTTGAGCTTTGACAGGTTGGATTGGGACCATTGGTACACAGCAACTTTACGTCTTAGCATAGCTGCTCAGACAGGTTGAGTCTGGGCTTTAACTGGGCCATTCTAAGACATTCAGATTCCTGTTTCCAAACTACTTCAGTGTCAGGTTGGCTGCTTGTATAAGGTCAGCAGCCTGCTGGGAGGTGAACCTCCACTGCAGTCCCAAGTCTCTTGCAAACAGAAGCATGTTTTCTTTCCTGACTAGCTTTTTCAGACCCTGCCCAGAAAAAAACATCTCTGTATCATGATGCTGCCACCACCATGCTTCACTGCGGGGCTGGTGTGCTCAGCAATGGGCCTTGCTGGTGTTGCACTGCTCATAGTGTTTCGTAGCAAGGCCAAGAAGCTTAGTGTAGGTATCATCAGATCCAAGGACCCTTTTCTATATTTTTGCTGTTTATCCCATGTGCCATCTTGCAAATTCCAAATGGACTTCGATATGGATTTGTTTCAGCAATGGCCCTTTTCTCGCCACCTTCCATAAAACTTAGGTTTGTGGAGTTTTGGGGTGCTAGTTGTTCTATGGGCAGTTTTTCTCATCTCAGCTGCAGCTCTCTCAAACTCCTTTAGTATTACTGTTGGCCTCTTGGTTGCGTCTCTGACTGGTGCCTTCCTTAGCTGGTCACTGCTTTTGATAGATTCTCTAGGCAGTCATGTGGAGCTAGATTATTTGTTTTTGCTAAAGTGGATTTCGTGGTGCACTGAAGAATGTTCATAATCTAGGATATGTTTTTATAACCCAACTCTGACTGGTGCTTCTGCACAACTTTCTCCTGGAATTGTTTTGATAAGTCGTAACTTCACAATGCTGTTTTTTAGATGTGCTCTCCAACAAACTCTGAGACACTAATAAATTACTTTACTTATAATAGACGAATTCTAGAGGCAGCGAGTTGCATCAGAACATATTTAACAAAGAGGGTGAAAATCTATGTAACCAACAAGAGCCAGATGTTTAAGTTTACTTAGTTTTATCAAAGTTTACTTTTGTGCCACAATAAAATGTTTTGCACTTTGCTAACATTGAGTAACTTGTGTGCATCAAATGCTAACAATACCAGTTAAATCCATTTCAATTCTAGGACATAACACAATAAAATGTGAAAAAGTCAAAGGCTGGGGGTGAATGCTTCTGCACATTCCACTGACATCAACAGGATACTCTCCAATGTGTTAAAGACTGCTTAATTTTAGAACCTGTTTATCAGTCTTTAGAACCAAACCTGTAAATACATGTGTAGTTCTAAATATATACTTTCCCTGTGTATCTGTGTATGTGACATATGTGTTAGAAGTTGCTGTATAAGATAGCTTCATATTGGCCTACTCTCTAGATACTACTGTGATGTCAGTTTCATTGACACTAGCTCCATAGCCACAGTTTCAAACTTTGTACATTTAGAGGACTTGCCTGTTGAAAATGAGAATTAAGGATACGGCCTCTTTAGCCAGCTGGTATTTAGTTTAGTGGTTTGCTTATAAATGAAAAGCTTTTTGTTTTTGTGCCCTACTCAGAACTGCATCCCACATTTGTTTATATTCATATGAATACTGCATTTGTATGCATTGGTCTTTGTTTATATGCTGCAGGTCTGCTGTCCACTTGTCTCTGTGATCCACTTCTGAGAATCCCAAATAAGCTAATACTTGCTTTGATTTTGAATAAATTAAACTAGTGAAATGAAATAAATCTAAGTGTTGTGGTGACCTGCTAATCTTTCAAAGCACTGAAGGAACTGCCCTTATTAGTGGTGGATCTACCCAGGGCAACAGCTGTTTCGTACCTTCACAGTTAGAAACCTGTTGTCGTTGTTGTTATTGTTGTTGTCATTGTTTCTTACAGGCATGGTCCAGGCATCTACAACAAAGCTGTGCTGCCCTCTTAGTGCATTTCAAGTGTTTGTTGCATACCGGGATATACATTAATATGTTTAGACGATAACTAATGAACAAACTAGACATGATCAGGCAACATCATTTAGTGGTCATCTGCCATCTGCCTTGACATATGGTGCGAACAAGATGGGGGTCTATTTTTTACATCAAAATGAGCAGGTTGGAGGGATAAGTGCCTGAGCAAAAAAGCAGAGTGCTGTAAGTGGAGCATGGGGCAGCCTGTCCATCAACCTGTTTTTAAAGTCCTTTATATTTTAGATACTTAGAACAATTAGAGATACTTATTGCCCATAAGAATAGCATTTCCAGGCTGAATGGGTTGCTTGTTTCCAGGCTCAGGGAACCAGGAGACCAAAAGAGCCTCAAACTATGTGGAAGGGCTGCTTACCCCCAAAGAAAGAGCAGCATTATTAGCCATGGTACAAGTGTAGAACAGGATGGAATAAAATTGCCGTGTCCTTTCTTTATAAAACCTTCACACTGCTTTCCAGCTAAGAACTTATAAAATGATGTAAGTTAATTCTAACTGAACAAAGAATAAGCAGCAATGAGTTGCATCACATTGAAATTTTTTAAAAGTACAAAGATTAAAAAAGACAGACTCTAATCTGTTCAAGAAAACTTGCAAAAAAGAGGAAGGTCCAAGCTAAACCCCTAAAATGGAAGCGGATACAGAATATGGAATCCAATTAACCTTTAACTGCTCAGAATGAGATTCAGGCCCTGAACTCTGTGTGGGCAGATAATTTTCTAAATGTATCAACTTCCTAGACAGTCATGGGAACACACCAGTGAAGAATTGGTTCATGTTTCACTGATTACAACAGAAAGCAACATAGTTCATTGGTGACTCAGTTGTAGAAAAACAAGTGTAAATAAGTGGTGGGCTTGGAATACATTAAAACAAACACCATTTTTAAAAATGTGAAGGGTATGCTAAGCAGCTGTCATTATCAAATAAATCAAAACAAAAATCTCAACTTTTTAGCTTTTCTAACCACCTGCATATGGAATCTCTGCTTCATAAAATTAGTACTGAAGGCTTGCTTTCAAAGAAATAGATTAGCATTTGGCAATGGTCTTTCAAAGAGGTAGACACAGGACTGGCAGATGGTCTGTTTTCTAAGAAGAGGGCAAGACTGGAATGCAAGGAAGGCACACTTGGATCCAGCTTTTTAAAACAATTTTTGATACAAGTTGATTCTCCTTATGATGGCTGTGCCTAAACTGTAGTGCTTCACAGGACATTTGTAAAGGGAAACACAAAACTCCACTCCCTTCCAGACCAGTTACAGACACATTAGTTGTTTCCACTGGAAGAGCTTTCTAATAACCTTTCATGGCTGTACTTTTCGTTGCTCCTCCTCTTGCTAATTCTGTGGGCAGAGGCCTGAACCGTCAGGGAAGAAAGGAACCATATATGGTAAAGAGGATGGGAAATGCAGTCCTTGCAGCCCCATATTTAGTTACAAGGTATAGAGAGGCTACTGTCGCTACTGTAGAATTCCTGGGGGAGTACTAGGTTTTGTTTTTGCATTCTTTAAGAGTAAGTTAACTTACTTTGGGCAAAGAGACAAGCTTCTGGCTCCTGAGGTTGTAAAGACTGACTGCTCTTGGCAGCAACAGCAGAATCTGAATGGACTCAACGGTCTAATTTGCAGCTAGGAGTTTTCTGCTAGCTTAAACTGAGCTCCACTCTGATCTCTCGCTCATCCGTGCCACCATCCATCTTTCACCTCTCCTCATTCTTTGCAGTTATTCGACTCCAAAATCCAAAGCAAGCATTAAAAGAAGACACTATGAAGAATGAAGTTTAGGTTAGAATTTGCGTTTAGGAGGGAAATGTGACAGTGACATTGCCAGTTATTGGTTAATCCAGGCACCTGCCAGTTTAATCATGGGTTAAGCCAATAGTATTACTTTTTCCCTTCACTGAGCTTGCAAGTTTCATGTTGCCGCAGCTCTCCTGCAAAGCCAATGTTTGACTGTGACCACTATTCATTATCCCACTTACTGCAACATTTCACCTCCTTCTGAGCTTTACCTGGCAGGTTTTAACACAGATTGATGCATAGATATTCACAAGTGAAGCTTATAGCCTGAACCAAGGCCAACTTGGAAAGACAACCTACTTTTATTAAGTCCAAACTTAATAACTCTGTACCCGATGAGCAAATGGTTCAAGATGATTTGCAGCTTATTTTTTCTTCTGATTTATGAAAAACACTCAATCACTCAAACACTCAAGCTATACCATATTTGGGCAGAAGGGAACAACAGAGGCCCTGCCATGCTGCCTAGCCATGATACTGAAGATTCATAGTCGTTATTTTATTTCTACCCTTTTGCAGTCTGAGGTCCTGGTGTCCTTGGCTTCTGCAGTGCCCCCCCCCCCCCAAAGCTGCTGTTATCTTAGCTTGGAGCTGGGGCAGCAGACTGAGGCTTCCAGTGCCAGCTGCTCCAATGAGCTAGAAGCAGATCCTGGAACCTGACAGATCTGTTCCTCCACATCTGATCATACTCCCCATCCATACAATCTCCAGAAGATACTCCCCGCCCCCCATTGACTGTGAGGAGTAGACACTGGATTTTTCCTATGAGCAGGGAGCTTCCTTAACCAACTTCTCATTCCTCAGACCTTCACTGCAAAGGGAAAGCCAGCAACTGCAGGAAAAAAGACACTGGCTGCTCAAAAGCAAAACAAAGTGGATGGATGTATGGAGGTGAAATCTCCAGAAGAACTTTCCTGAGCTGGCTGTAAATGCCAGCAGTTGCTCTAGCAACTGCTGGGCTCATCAGTCTTGGCCTTAGCTGCAGGAATGGTTTCTATGGGCCTGCACTGATCATCCCCGAGGCCCAAAGCAGGCATTATTGTAAGCAGGATGGTCTCCTCACACCCTGCATTTTTACTCTAGAGTAGGTGCAGTTGGTCCAGTCTGGTTCAAAGCCTCCCTACAGTATCATTACAATCTGGATTGCATGCTGGGAGTGTCTACTCTACAGTAAAAATAATATTTAAAAAACCCAGAGGTGCTTGCTATGGATTTGAAGTGATGTCTTTTTGGCCCTTGGTAGCTGCAGCTCTCCTCCAGACCCACTTCAGCTGTCACCACCTAACTCCGTGCTCCCTCACCTGAGCTGTCAGTCAGCATACCAGAATCCACAGTGCAACAAAACAAGCCTATGACCGATTTTCCCAAAGCACCCATGAGGCTCTGTCGGGGTTTGTTTTTCTTTTTTAAGGAGAAGCAGGCCACATGAAAGCTCCACTGCACATCTCCTATCTTATATCCAGTTTGACCACAATCTCTCTGGCAGGGTGGACAACATCCCTCAAGGCCAGGGCTGAATTGAGTGCAACCCACATATACATAACTCACATGCACTTGTACTCCCTCCTCCCAGTCCTGCAACGGATCACTGTTGGTGTTGCTACACAGTGGGGGGGGGGTCACATGGGGCCCAAAGAAAGGGCCCTGGGGAGCTACATGTGGTCCCATCCTGCTCTATAATATCTTAAGGTAGCCTTTGTCAACCTTTTTACCTTGGAAGAACCCTTGAAATAATTTTATGTCTGAGGAAACCCATGCATAAAAGTTATTATAAAGGTAGGCCCTGGGTTATATACAAATTAAGACTGAACATTGATCTTAATTAGTGCTATTTACGGCAGGAACATTTATTGACAAATAGCGATGTTTACAGCAGCAGCAAAGCCATCAAAAAAATCTTTGACTGAAGAGGGCATTCAACAAGCCGCTTGCAAGGTCGAACTAATAGGACTAGTGTACTGCTCAGTGACCTGTGCGGTATTCCTTCATGACACTGTCTCCATCTATCAAATGCCTGTTCCCCCGCCCTCCATTTATGCCTGCCTCCATTTGCTCCACCCACAAGTTCTCATAACAAAAGAAACAACTAAAACAAATTATTTATTATGGTGCACTTGTTTCCAATTCATTTAGACCTTATGCCATTAAAATACTGAAAAGATCAAATCATTTGTGCAAGTTTATATTATAAATATGAAAAAACTGTGTGTGCATTTCAAAATCTTTCATGGACTCCCCCACACTCCCGGTGCAACCTTCTACAGAACATTGAAACCCTGGTTGAGAAAGGCTATCTTAAGGTATTTTAATGATTATCCAGAAATCTCCAGGCTTCTTTTTTTTCTGAAAATTTCTCAAAAGCAAAGGTATGTTCTGTAGACTACACAACTTTAAACAAACTGTGTTCAGTGTTAAACCACTAGGTCTTAGATCCCTGCCTTCATCCAGATTAACCCTACATATTTTAAGCTTGAATGACTTTCTGATTTGTGTCTTTTCTCTCTCCAACTCTCTCTCTCTCTCCAGTGGTTTGTAAAAAGAACTTGGATAGCACTACAGTGGCTGTGCATGGAGAAGAGATCTACTGCAAGTCATGCTACGGGAAGAAATATGGACCAAAGGGTTACGGATATGGACAGGGTGCCGGTACTTTGAGCATGGACAAGGGGGAAGGACTGGGAATCAAACATGAAGAGTAAGTTTCAATTCCTTCTTTATCTTGGTAGCAAATGGGGCTGTTTTTTCCTATAACAAGGAGGCAACTGTTTCATTTCTACTTGGAAAGTGTCCCTGGAAAAGCCCTTTTCAAAGTTCATCCTGACCACAAACCAGATCTGATTAAAATATAATAATACTTGTTCATTTGTGAAGTGCTTGACCATTCCTGCTAAAGAACTGTAAGACAGGCATTTGGGGAATTAATAAGCACTTCATCTGGTTTTTTTCACCTAAGATATATATTGGTTTAAGTATACATCCTTGGTATCCCATCTCATGAGCTCCAGTTAGGGGATAAGCACTAATAAAACAACAAAAATCAGCACGCATGCATACATACTCATAATTCAAAACAAAACAGGCCTCAAATTTCCCCTAGATCCCAAATACCAGTTTGAATGCAAGTTTTTCACATTGCAGTGGAGTGGGGTTAATTATTTTAAGAGCAGAATAGTGAATATCCTGGGTGTTTTTGGAATCCTACTCAATTACCCCCACCCCCAATTGTATATTTTTCCATGAAATAGGCTCAGAGATGGAAAGTAAACCTGGTCAGAAGATGTGGCTGGGGAGATGTGGCACTTGGGAGGCAAAAGTATGAAGTGGGCTACAACTGCATCTGCGTAGGATTTTCTGTCATGTCGACAGATGTTTAAATTGAAGACTGGTACATAGCCTTCAACCAGCCAAAGTAATCCCAACCCATCCTGTGCCTCTAGGACAAGCAACATCTCATTGATAGCATGTGAATTAGGTGCAGGACAAGGCCAAGCCATTTTAACAAAAGAGAAACTGTTGTAACTCCCTGCAAAGTGCTAACTCTTGACTGTTGTTGCACTCAATGTATGGATGAGATTCTCTGGTAACACCAGCCTAGATGCCTCAGTCAGCCAAGTCTCTGTAAGTCAAGCCTGTATCATGATTCTCAGTACCGCTATTTCAGAATCAGAGATGCATGGCGCTTCATCGCTGAGCTTGTATTCAACACCAAAACTGAACATCGGCAGCTGACCTATATTGCCTGTCTCTAGGAATATTTTTTTCCTCTCTGTGCCTTCTTCAGTCAGAACTGGAACTGGTTGTCCCAAATGGCTTCTTCCTTTGTAGAGACCTTGCGTACACACATGCAGACAGAATGACTGTTGCTTTCCTGCCTGTCCTCTGCAGGGCTCAGCCCCATCATCCCACCAACAATCCCAACGCATCCCGGCTGGCACAGAAGGTGGGCAGTGCTGATGGCTGCCCCCGCTGCGGACAGGCTGTGTATGCAGCCGAGAAGGTGGTTGGAGCTGGGAAGGTAAAAATCTGCTCTCAGTGGTTCACATGAGCTGAATGCTTACAGGCTAGCTTAGTTTCAGTCCCACATTAGTTTGGAAATAAACCAGACACAGATGTGATGGGAAACCACTGCCAGCTGGGCTTTTGTTTAAGGAGACAAAAAATTACTTGTCGTGCATTACAATGTGCAGAGTGGTGTGGCAAAGGATTACGCTCCCATCATATCCATGTTTAGACAGAAAAAGTGCAATGACACCCAGCATTCCTCAGCTAGTGGTGTAGGACTTAGGCATCTTAAGAGTGAACATAGTATCAAGTAAGAAATTCATAATGTGTGAGGCAGTTTTACTGGCTGCTCTATAACTAGCATGTTAAAAAAGATTTCACAACTTATCCTCTATCAAATTAGAAGAATATTCATGGTAGGCTAGCTGGTTGCACCAAGAAGAGTGGCACAATTTTCCATAGACAAGAACCTAATTCATTAGATAAATATGGGCAAGGTAGTGTTTAACTGTGCACACATCTAATGAACATTAAAATGTTAGAACATCTAAGTGGTTACTTGTAACCAGCAGAGACAGGTGTATATTTTCTGCAGATGATACATTTTTACTCATTTTGTAAAACTATTACATTCTTAGAGTATAATCATAATACTATTTTCAAAGCATTTGGAATATTTCAGAACAGGTTGCATTGGTAATCTGGATAAATCACTTGTTGGTTGTTATGTAGTGCAGTTAAAGATTGTAGGAGAACAAAGTGTTCTCGTGAATTCTCTTACCTGTGCTTTTAGTAACTTGTCTCCTGTGTTGTCCTCAGTCATGGCACAAATCCTGTTTTCGATGTGCAAAATGTGGAAAAGGTTTAGAGTCCACTACTTTGGCTGATAAGGATGGTGAAATCTACTGCAAAGGTAAAATGCGTTATTTCAGGATGTCTCACTTACATTGGGCAACTAGTGACCTGGGTTAGTTGTTGGTCAGTTGTCAAATGCATGCAGATGCAAAGGGTGCTTTCGCCCTCTGCAAGTCATCTTGGAGAGCAAGCAAAATGGTCATGAAAGGTGATATTCTTTATGAAATGAACAGTCACTTACATTTCAGTGGACCAGAAGTAGGGAGCCTAGATTCCTCTGTTTTATTTGTAACAGTCTGGTTTGTAATGTGACTGTGGGGCAGAGAGTCCCCCTTCCTTTGACTCAACTTTGCCAGCCTGTAGATACTTTCTAAGAATGAGTGGGTGTATAAAAACCTTCTTCATAGCCACTTGTTACTTGGCATATCTGAGAGCCAAGACACACATGAAAGCATAAAGTTTCCCTGAAATGAAGCCATGGGAAATGAGTGGTGATCGAGGTGGGAAAAGTGCCTCCAGTGGGGCAGGGGGTTGTTTTGTTTTTATAAAATGAATACCCTAATTGCTGCAAGTTGAAACATCTGCTGCTGAATATCGTATCAAGGAAATGGTGTGTGGGGAGAATTACCCAAGCTGGGTGTGCAGACTGGCCCTGAAACAGGAAAGCTGATTTGGGTATATCTTTAACAGTTTCTTAATCCTTATGACCTGCTCATGAAGGCTTTGAATTGTTTGGATTCCTCTCTAAGCAAAGCCCCTGACAGTCTTAACCATTTTAATTTTTGTTTGGTTCTCTCTGCCTTTCTCCTCTTTCAGGCTGCTATGCCAAGAACTTTGGACCCAAGGGCTTTGGCTTTGGGCAAGGAGCTGGTGCGCTTGTCCATTCCCAGTGAAGAGCTGCAGCCTTCAAGTCTCCTTTCCAGCACTAAATGCTTTGCCAATGCTGAGTTCATCCAACCTGATCCTCACAAAGAAAAGACCATTTCATTTCACCAATTCTTGCAAATGTAATAATACAGTAACAGAATTTGCTGCTTTCCAATGTATGACTGGCTCAGCTCCCATTAAACCCTTTCCATAGAGCCCTGAAAGCATGAAAAATCTCCAGTTATCTGCAATGGGCTCTATTGGCTCACATTCACAAAATGACCTCACTCATTCTTTCAGCCTATGTCATACTACAGGTAACAGAGAGCACAGATCACTCTGTATAGATAACAGCACAATAGTTTCCAAGACCTCTCTTCTGGCAGAGCTAAAATAGGTTGTTTTAGGGAGGAAAGGCCACAAATTTTGTGATTTATCAAGTCTTAAGAAGTTATATGTGAAATATCAAGAAAGATCATAATTTGTAAGTGTAAAGAGATCTGAAAACTAAGACTCTAGTCAGATGTTTGAGGTTATAGCAAAAGAGCATATATAATGTGTAAATACAGACACTCCTGGAGCTTTTAGAGTAAATATGGATAAAAGTCTTAACACTAATATGTTCATTTTCAGTAGATTTATTACTAGGTTGATAAATTCAACAGTGACCATTGGGGTGAGGAAATCTGTCAACTCTGGTATAATGCAGTTTCTCATTTTTCCAATCTTGTGTTCATTTTGGCCCATTTTAATTTTCTAATTTGAGCATGGGGATGCCCACATGGAAATGTGATTGCATTTTAATGTGTACTTCTAATATACACATTTTGTACATAATTTTTCTAATGTAGGTGATCATTGCTCAACATGATCCATTTTTGTTACCGTTTTCCTTTATACTTATTTTATGCCCATTTTGTTACTGGCAAATTCCATTGAAAATTCTGGAAAGTACTGATTTCAAGCATACAACTATTTTACATATAGGTGCAGGAGGTGCAAATTCAGTAAGCTCATATTTAGACTGAATGAATCTGCTCTTTTATCCTTAGTGACCTTTTCATATATTTTAGACCATTTGGATTATATAAAACAAATCATTCAGAAGCTGATAGGAAGTTATTTTCCTAGTGACACTGCTCAGTACTTCATTCACTCCTGAAAGATGAATGAATTTGGAGACGGTCAAAATATATAATTTACCCTCATTCCATTTTTCATTCTGTTATTTACAGCAACTGGGACCACTGATAATAGAAAATTGATGTTTTTCATCATCATTCCACTGTGATATTTCCCCCTTGAACAAAGGAAGTGCATAACAAGACTGGTTTCATTTCTCTTTCACATGTCAAAGAGACCCCATCAAACTGCAGAGAAATGGTGGTGGTGGGTTGAACATTTGTACATCAAATAAGTGTTAGATTTTATAAAATCCAAACATGTTGACATGTTGATCCAGAGTTGACAGTCGTCTTTTTATGAAACTCAGGGGGGAAATTCTTACATCCAAAGTATGATCCCCCAATGGGCTGGGAACTTTTAAATACAGACTCTAGTCCATATTTTGCCCAGTTGGATATGAACCCATTTTAGGTTAAATAGCCTTAGTATGAGCTAAATACCTGTATCTTTTCCTTTAGAATGCAGCCTAAAGGAAATGGTTTACTCTTCTCTCTAGGTGATTAGCATAAAGTTAAAAGTCTATGAATCTGTACACGTTACAAGAATAAGAAACTGTAGCAGTAACATTTTTACATGTTTGTTACATAAAAGAGCTATGTTTAAAGAACAAAAATATATTCAATAAAGCAATCAAAAGGAATCAATGTCGGACTCTTTTCTAATAATGGAAACCTGTAGCCAGAAATATGTAGGTGTGGAAAAGCAGGGAACCCTTTTTCTGTTGAAGGCTACCTTCCCTAGGAAACAACCTGATCAAGTCTTCCATCCTGGTGGTAGGTGGGGCTGAAGCCGGTGGACAGCAGCAGAGTGAAAACTGGTTGGACCCAAGGCTTGCTCATTACTTATTTCCTCTTCCTTCCCACTCAGAAGCCTGCTGAAGGAGCAACCGGTTACCCACCTCTGTTCTGGAGACCCTGAATACATCCATTTCAGCCTTTTGCTCAGCCTTTTCTGCACGTAGCTTTCTTCCAAGGGGTGTGCCTTCTGTTGACAGTGTATGACCAATCTCAGCTCCTTCCATTCAGTTTTTACTTGGTGGAAGCTACCCCCCTCCCCTTGTTTTTGGGAGGAATCAACCCCTTGGTCCTGGGGTTCCAGACTTCTTCTGGTGTGATGCTAAAATGCTGAAATAAGGAGTGGTGATTGCATTTAAAGAAAGGGTCATATGCTAAGCCTGCTCTCTTGTCTTACTAGATGCATACACAGAATGTCTGCTGACCTCTACTGGCAGTGCACTGAATACTACAAGTTATGGATGCCTTAGAATCCACAAATGTCAAGCCACAAAGTTTATGTGCCAGATATGCTGTCAAGAATTTCAGTTTGGGAAGAGAACAAAAGTATTTGTCTTAATGCGTCTTTATTGATAATTATATGAAAGATTTTGCATACCTTGGCTCACTCTTCAGTTCAAATGGTGACTGCAGCAAGAAATCAGCAGAAGGTGGACTAGAAGTTGTAATGAAAGCATTAGAAAAGATAATATAGTGTAAGCATATTTCATTGGAGACCAAGGCCAAAATCATCCATACTATTGTATGTCCAATCATGCGGGCATGAAAGCTGGACAGTAAAGAAAGCTGAGAGGAAGAAAAATGGATCCATTCAAAATGTGGTCCTGGAGGATGACTGTGAATACCCTGAACTGACAGAAAAATGAACGAGTCCTAGATAAATCAATCCCTGGAAGCAAAGTGACAAAACTGAAGCTGCCACTTCTGGCATATCCTGAGAAGGCAAAATTCACTGGAGAAGAAAAAAATGCAAGGAAAAGTCAAAAGTAGAAGAAGGGGAAGACCAAATATGACATGAGTTAATTTTCTAAAAGAGGTGACAACCTTGTGTTTACAAAAACTGAATAGGGTTGTTAAGAGCAGGTCCTTTTAGGGGCACTTGTTCATAGGGCCACCATAAGTCAGAGAAAATTTGATGGCACACAACATACACCCTGGCAGAGGGAGCAACCCACTGCTATGTATGAAATGTGGCAGGTATGTGAGGTGCCACTTACACGCAGCAGTCTTTTAAGTAGACAGATAAGACGGATCCTTTCCCTAGGCAGGGCCTGTGCAAAATAAGCCCGATTACAATTGCACTTGTGGGCTCTTGAACGAATTACTGTGTGCAGTCCCAGCTCAGTAAATAAACCAGCTAAGATCCATCCAGTCCTGCTAACAGTCAGAGTGGAGACTGCCTGTGTAACCAGGCCTGCACTTTTCTCTAAAACCCATTATATTCAGAAGCATGTGCTGTGTTAGTGTCAATGTTCTCAGTGATTTTAGCAACAGCCAGAGTGGTGCAGTGGTTAGAGCAGTGGACTGGGAATCTGGGAGAGCCAGGCTTTAGTCTGCACTCAGCCTACCTCACAGGACTGTTGTGAAGATAAAATGGAGTGGAGGACCCTGTAGGCTGCACTGGGTTCCTCTCAAGAGGAAAAAAGTTGGGCAAGGAGAAATATACACATACCTACTAGCATCCACACCTTTTTAACTGGTGTGAGGCGGTGAGTGATCAGTGGTGTTGCTAAACTTTGTGAAAGTTTAGATAAAGGGTGAGGGGTGAACAGAGGTATAGAAAGTTCCTACAGCCTAGAGGACCCTTGGGCCAATGCAGCAGAATAGAAGTTTAATTAATAAATAATACAGGTGGGGGTGTGGCAAAAGAAGGTGGACCGGACCAGATTGCAGATAATTGGTGATATAAAACATAATAAGAAGAAAGCATGTACTGTGGGCTGTGGTAAAAGGAAAGAGCCCTCTACGAAGTACAGAGAGAAAGAGAGAGGAGTAGAAAGAGGAGTTCTAGGAGAAGATAATGCATTCAACAAAGAGAAAACAGTGGCTAACAATGGGTAAAAATTTAAAATCAGTCTGTGCTCAGCTTAGCAATGAGGTCCCCTTGAGTTAATAAAAATATAAAACCGCCTCAGGGTGATAGGAGATGTGTAATCCAACAGCCGTAGGCCAGTTTTCTAAACAAAGAACATTAAAGCAAAATTGTAACAGTGGGAGCAAAATGGGTAGCAGTTGCAAGACAACTCAAATGGGGTTATATATCTAATTTCCCTGCATATTGGCTGGTATGTATTATTCATATTAATTTAATTTGTTGGTTATCTTTCTACAAAAAATACATCAAGGCAAATTGTGTCTATACAAAATCATACAAAAAAGAAGAAGTAAGGCTCAATGCATGCTTACAAAATCATCCAGTCAGCAAATGACTGCTGCATTTAAACTTGGCTGCTGGTGGTTCTACGACCTGGGATTTTCCTGTAGATTCCTGGTATAGAAAGCGGCAGCTCAGATTTTGCCCAGCACTGAACACACTAAAGCTGTGTCACTCTGCTGCCTAGGACTGATGAAAACTGCAGTCCAGTGACATTTGGAAGCCTACATATTCCTCACCACTGCTGCATGTTAAGATTCCAGTTTATAGTGGCGAATAAAATCCTGGGAATTAATGTGCAAAACCATTGTCCTTAGGAATGAGCCTTGGTTTTAAATTCATTTTATGGGGCATTTTAGGTTGCTCTGTTTTGTTCATTTTTTTAAATCATGATGAGCTATTAAGTTGCATTTGTGAGCCACCTTGGGGCACAACAACAACAATTTAAAATAGCAGCAGAGATTGTACTGGTAGAGGAACTAGAGAATAATCCTATGCATACTTAGGAAAAATTCTACAAATCTCAGTATTTTCCAGCCAGCATGGATGGATGGGGAATCTCAGAAATTGTAAGACTTTTTATCTTCTAAATACATAGCGATGTGCCTTCAAAGAAGCTGCTGCTTCCAGGGGACTCCAGCTAGAAAAAAGGAACAGAAGAGCTTTGATTACTTTGGGACAATTCCACACAGTTCTCACCAGGTGGCTCTGTACAGCTATTCCCTGGGACGCCACCAGTTCGTTCATTTTGGACAAAGCAGTTGCTATGTAAACTATAGATCAGAGCAATACTGTATAGTGGTTTAAGTGAGTGAGTATGCCATGGCCTTGGCTAGTACTATAAACTTTTTTAAAGTAAGTGACTCAGCATAGAGTCATAAAGAAGTGCCTTATCTGGGCCCGGGGAGTGGCAAATGCATCTCCAAATGTGAAGTTCCCAGTGCCCTTAAGTGGGCAGTAGTGCCTCCACTTTGGACATAGTGATGTTGGACAGCTGCTGCCCAGTCATAAATGCCCCTTTCTCAGGAAGGCACTTGAGAGGGACCTGGTGAAGCAACTGCAAGCACTCTTCAACAATACTGATTACCTAGTCCCAGTCCAGCCTGGGTTTTGATCTGGTTATGGAACCAAATCCATCCATCAGGTGGCCCTGATAGAGTACCAGGAGAAGAACACAAGAGTGCAACCCAGTTAATTCTGCTTGATTGTTCATCATCTTTGATACCATCAGCTATGGTAATCTCCTGGATCAACTCCAAGATATGGGCATTGAACATTCCTGTCTTACCCGCACAGTCATTTTCAGAAAACAACACTGGTGACTATTTCTTTGCCGCTTGGCATTCCACAGGGTACTATTTTGTTCCTCATATCATTTAGCATCTATATGAGGCTGCTGGGAGCAGTCAGGGGGTTCGGAGCCAAGTGCCACCAGTACATTGATGATACACAGTAGTTATTCCCAGTGATATCAGAATCAGGTGAGACTGTGCAAGTCCTGAATCAGTGTGTGGACTCAGTGCTAAGCTGAACAAGGGCCAATAACCTGAAGCTGAATCCTGGCAAGACAAAAGCCATGTGGGTGGGCCCAGGAGCCTGTCTGGATTGCACTCTCTTTAAAAGGAATTGGCTTGATAGTTTGCAGGTACCACTAGATCCCTCACTGTTCCTGGAGTCCTAAGTGATTGCAATGTACTTACTTCTGTTGACTCACCATCTCAGGCAGGTGTAGCTTGGACAGGTGTAGCTTGGGCACAGTGGTGCAGTCACTAGTAACGGCAAGACTGAATTACTGCAATGTGCTCTGTGTGGGGCTGCCCTTAGGGCTGGTCCAGATGCTGCAAGTAGTGCAAAATGTAGCAGCTTGGCTGTTGCCACACCTACACACAACTCCTTTACTGAAGGAACTGCACCGGCTGCCATTTTGCTACCAGGCCAGGTTTAAAGTTCTGGTTCTAGTGCAATAATGGCACCCAACAGCTTATGATTGGGAGATCTGAGAGAGCACCTTATCCCTTACCAAACTGCCCTATCACTGAGGTCCCTGGATGGCATCCTCCTGGTGATACCACATGCAGCTATGGCCTGACTGGGGTCCACCCAGAGAAGAATGCTCAGTGTAGTGGCTCTATTTCTATGGAACTCCCTGACTTTGATGGTCAGGCAGTCATCAATACTGTGTTCTTTTCAGAGTCTCCTGAAAACGTATTTATTTTGGGTACCTACAGTGGGTACTGGCTGCCCCTTGGCAATAGGCATTTGACATTTCTCCAGTCGTGGCTTAAAGCCAGTCCTAAACTTGAGTTTGAGCAAATGCACATTTTTGCACAAATTGGATTTTTTTTCACATCACTGTGCATAAAAATGGTTTTAAAATATTGGGTAGACACAAGAGCCCTCTCCAAGATGCTGCTGGGCAGTTTGAAGGGACAGGTGAAGGCTGCCCAAATGGGGATCAGGAAAATGCTGTCACGTCTGTTACCATGATCTCACAAAAATAAAGGAAAAACTGGAGTGACAAAAGCCTAGAAGCGCCTAGGAGACCACTGCTAACCGTCCCATCATGGGTTGTTTTGAAAAACAAACAAACCACTATGGGTAACCTGTACTGGATTCACATAAGATGACAACCAATTGTTGGCCATTATTACTGATTGGTTGCTGTGTCATGTGATACATGAAAACTGATGGCAAAGCAGAAACCCCAACACAGCTAATTGTCTATTTACATTCTACCCAACTGCAAAGATGGATCCAAGATAACCTGCTGATGGGCTTCATAATAATTCCAAAGTACAAGAGAGTCTAAGAAGTAAGTACTGTAATTTATACCACTCTATACAGTTAGATTTTATCTGAACTGGTTTCTGGGCTAGCATCATTACAGCAAGATTAACATTCACAGTTCTCTTAGTACTAACAAAAGTACTTGTACACATGCTCTGACTCACTCTCTTTTCAGCTGCCTTTTGCCCTAAAGGGACCATTGCTTCTTCTGGTTATTTGCAGGATGTGCCTGTTTGCCAGGTTTTGTAGCTCTTGCCTTTCTTGAGAACCTTTTCAAGTCAATCTCCTTCCCAAAGACATGCAGCAACTTCAGGAGAGCACATATGGCAGCACATGAAGCAGAATCTCAGGGAGAATTTCTACTTTTAAAATTGTCAGTTGTACAGAACAGACTGAACAGACAAAAGCATATTAAATCAAAAGAAGCAGCCCATCGTAAAAGAAGGATCATCATTTATGTGTTATAGTTACAAATTTATGGCTACAAATTTCATAGCAGCATCTAGGTTAAGGATGTGGGGGTCCTTTTGGGAAATGGTTCATAACCCCCCCCCCCCATTCTCAGCAAACCTCAGGTGTCTAGCAAAACCATTCTCTCTCTAGGCAACTAGGAATAAAAATTTCTCAGGGTAATTCATTCCTATGCATGCAAGCTCATAAATAGGTCCCACTGAGTCCCCTGTGTTTCAGGCTGCAGTATAGTGAAGTTCCAGTTCCGCAACACACATTACCACCATCTCATCTTCAGAACAACAACCACAAAGCCTTCCCTTGCATCCACAATCAATCTATACAGCTTTGATATGCACCTACATCACTGTTTGTCACAAAGCAGTGTTCCACAAAGCTCAGGCTTCTTCCTCTGCTGAAATTGTCTTCCAGATTTTTTTCCTCATTGCATCATCACATTTTCTAAAAGGAAACCTACCAGAAGGTTCATTTGTATGCACAGAGAATACTGCTCATGTAAGCCAGCTTTCATCCTACACTGAAACTGCACACCAAATTGTTAAGTCAAATCTTTCAGCCACCAAAGGAACTGTAACATCCTACTTAAGTGAACTACATAATTTAGTAAGGTACAATTCAACATAGCATAACTAAACAGCAATGCTTAAGACTTAGCGGAGGAATTCTTGCTCTGCATACTATCTTGCCAAACTACTTTGTGCTCATTTTTTCAGCAGCAGCCTACTTTTGCTTTCTTTTTTTACTTTGTAAAGTTCTTTACTTTGTAAACAGTACAGTTTGAAAGAGATGTGCAGAGGATTTGTGTCCATGTAGTCAGATGGGAGGCCAGACAGTGTCTCACACATAATAGCAGACCCCCCCCCCCCCCGTTCTGAAGGAATACAAGGGAGCACCATATTTAGGCTCAGTATCCTGTCTCTGGCTTCAGGATTTCAATGCTTCAGGGTGTTGCAATAGCACTGGCTACCATGAGACCTCTATAGTTCAACACAAGTATACTCAATGTGTACTGAAATATAAGTATACATGGAACCTTCTTCCAAGTTAAGCAAGCATAGGATTGTATTCTTAAGCTATGAATGACAGTGGCCTAAATCCAATGCACCATTGTCAGAAGAATGTATTGTGCTAGCAGAGCTATGCACTCTTTTCTCATTGCACAAGCAATCGCACAAGCTTTTGGACTACTTTGTCACCCTAAAATCAGCAAGCACTGGCATACCACTTTGATGACTTTCTATGGATAAGGCAGTACACATGTTCATAAGAAATAAAACTTTACTTGCATGTAGTTTAGATCTTGGTTTTTGCTAGTATATCCTCTGCATAGAATTGCACTACTGGATACAACCCAGTATTAGGAACAGCCAGATGGATGCAATGCACTGCCAGTCTAGCATCTGTTAATATTACTATTCATAATTACGGTTATAATTTTAGTCAAATTTCAATCTGGCCATTTCGGAATGCGCTTGCATGCTTTCTTCTGTAGTAGCCTTCCCTGACCTGGTACCTTCCAAATGTGTTGGACTATAGCTCCCATCATAACCAGGCAGGTGGCTATACTGACTGAAGATGGTGGGAGTTGTAGTCCAACACATCTAGAGCCCCAGGTTGGGGAAGGCTGCTCTACACTTACATCAGTGTGAAAAAGCATGCGATTGCTATTTGGAAAAAAGGGCTGATGTGTTGTTGCATGCAAACCTTAAATCACGTCCAAACTCAACATTTTGTTAAACTTACACATGCCAGATCTGGACTGCCTAGCTTTTTTAATCTGCAAAGTACAGAGAAAGCGCCAGCTTTGAGCTGCTTTTTTGCTGCGGGGAGTCATCAACACAATTTAGAAGGTAGGCCTCAACCAACACCCAGAAAATACAAGTTATTTCCCCTTAAACTCCTAGTACTCAGAGGGTTTGGAAAAGAAATGCCTTTCTACTATACAGCCAAGAAAGCATTACAAACAGCCCTAGGCATCTCACAGGCTACCAACTTATTTAACTTCTCTTCCATGGTCTATCCAAAATTAACACATCACAGGCATTACCAGTGAGTTGATTGAAAAAGTGCTTTTCATGGTGATGTGTCACTCTAAGCCATGTTTCCTCATTTCCACTTCTCTCTTAGAAGGATTCACAGCTAAGCTTCCTTGGAAAGTATTTTGCATACTAGGGCTTATAAACGTAAAAACACAAGCTTACTACAGCTACTATTAAACCGTCAAGAGACACTCATCTTTGTTTTGCTCCAGTGAGACAAAACTCTGGAAAACTGCAGAAATGGGATCACTGTTATCTGCTAGCCCTGTATCAGACTGAGTATGCAGTTCTAACTGTATGTTGGGGATGGGAGAGAGAGCTAAATGTCCTTTCAAAGAATTCTTTCCCTCCCCACAAACACACTCATACACAAGTGAAAGAAGTGTGTGGAGGATGCAACTAGAAACAGAGGAAGTTGGGGTGAGGGAAGGGACATAACTTTACCCCCCAGCTTTCTTTCCAATCAAGAAACACAATAAAGCTGCTTTCCTCCTCTCTGCACCCCACATACATACAAAATACAAAAAACAACGGTTCCTGCTAAGAGAAAAGCAGAAGTAGAAAACAGCTGGGTGTTCAAGAGGGAGAGAGAAATTGGCTGGTGCAGAATAGTTTATACATTCCTGCCCACCCACCCTTCCTCCCCTTGTTTTCAACAGCTGCCTGCAGCTTCTGCTAGTCATTAACACAGAACCAGGGAGACGGGAAGTGCATGAAGTGTGCAGGTGAAGCCCAGCGGTGGAGGAATTGTGGCGGGATGTCTGTGTGGCCACAACTTGAATGCTGAGACATGCAGCAGCCAACAGCCACAAATCCCAGACTTGCTCCTTCGGCTTTTCAGAGTGGGGATCACTGTCAATTTTCCCACTGCAGTATGTGCAGATAGTAAAAGGGATGCTTGATTCTCTCCCTGTGATTGCTCTTGGGGTGAAGCAACCCTTTTCCTCCCAGAAAAAGTTTTCTGTTGCAAAACTTCTCTCCTTGCAGTAACTTGATTAGAGGGGTAGGTGTGACCTGCAGATGTTAGGGGACTGTCATTCCCACCAGTCCGAGCCAGCATAGCCAGTGGAGGATGATGATGGGAGATGCAACCAGCAACATCAGGGGAGATACGGATTCCCCATCTCTGGTTTAGAACTTGCAACTGCCTTGGCTTTGAATTGCACGCATTTGCTTGTAACAGGCAGCCAGCTCTCAAACTAGGGCTCACACGTGCCCACCTATTCAAGCGCTGCTGCCCGTGTCTCCCGCCTTGTGAGAAAACCAAGCAGCTGAGCCCCGCTCACTGCCTCTGGCATCAACTGACCGCCAGAAACGCGCGCCTGACCCGACGGACCGGCCGCGGCCCCGCGAGGGGGACGTTTCCTGCTGCCGCGCAGCAGCCGCGACCCCGACCAGTCAGCAAAGGAGCGAGTCGCCCTGGCGGGCACGCCGGCCCAGCCCGGCCCAGCCCGGCCCCTCGGGCTTCCAGCAGAGTCGGCCCGCGCCTGGGCGTGAGCGGTGTCTGGCAGGCAACGCCGGGGCGCGGCCCTGGCTGCGCTGCAGAGGAATGCGAGTGGGAAGAGGAAAGTGCGAGCGGCAGCGGCGGCGGGCATGTAGCGGCACATCCCACGAGCGCAGCGGCCAGGGCAGCCAGCCTCCCGCGGCACTGGGAGGGCCCTCGCTCCGCGCGGAAGCCGGGAGGACGGCGCTGGCGGCGCGCGGCGCGGCAGCGGCTCCCGCGTCCCGCGCATCGCTCTTCCCCGCCGCCCCTCGGCCCCATGGCGTCGGAGAAGGTGCTGCGGGAAGGGGTGCTGGAGAAGCGCAGCGGCGGCCTGCTGCAGCTCTGGAAGAAGAAGCGCTGCCTGCTGAGCGAGAAGGGGCTGCGCCTCTTCGAGGCCGGCGGCCGCGGCTCGACGCGCTGCAAGGAGCTCGCCTTCGCGCACGTCAAGGCCGTCGAGTGCGTGGAGTGGAAGCAGCGGCACATCTACTTCACCGTGGTGACGGACGGCGGCGCCGAGATCGACTTCCGCTGCTCGCAGGAGGAGCCCAGCTGGAACGCCGACATCACCCTGGCGCTGGTGCGCTTCAAGAACCAGCAGGCGGTGCAGGTGGTGCGCGCCCGGCACAGCTGCAGGGCCGGTAAGCGCCGTGGGGAGCCGGGCGGCCGTGGGCGCGCACCGCGAGACCCCGCTCTGCCGCCAGTCTTCGCGGGTCTGCGAGGTGGGGCAGGCCCGTAGCCCTCCTTTGCATCTGTATTCAGCCACTACATCTCCCCCACCCCAGCTTTTATTCCAGAGTAGCGGGCCCAATTGTGATACTAAACCCCATGACCCAGACTGGGCACCCACTACACCAATCCAAAGAAGGAGAAGGAGAGACAGCTGCCAGAGAGAGTTAAAGTGATGTTTGTTTAGCTGTGGCAGGTTCGATACTGGCTATTTTCGGCTGAGCAGATCTTGGGTAGCAGAACTGGAAAGGGCCCGCTGCCAACCGGCACAGAGAACACGGAGCTAGGTGGTCTAATAGCACAGAAGATAGCTTCATGCATTCATATAATAGGCATCGTCTCTCTGCGGCCACGTTTGTGGTCATCAGTCTATTAGCATGCATTGGATCCTCTTCTGAACTGCAGCCACTGTGGATGTGGGGAAAGAGAGTTAGAGAGTCTTAGGGGGAAAGTAACTTTCCTTAAGTGTTCTGAAGTGTGTGCCTTGGGTGTTGCTGGGTGAAGCCAAAGATCTGTGGCTACAGAAAGACTATCAGAAGAGAAGGCTCAAAATAGGTTGCTGGTTGAGCAGAAAATCTCAGTGGCACCGTACATTAAGCAAACTGAGGCAGCTGCCTCAGGCAGCAGATACGGAGAGGTGGTAGCCTGGAGTTGGAGGAGAGAATTGTGTGCCATGCAGGCTGCTCCTAAACTAGCCTGCAGCTTCCAGGGGTGGCTGGAGCAAGCTGCCCCATCATCAGTGTTGAAGAGAACTTCAGGCCCCAGTGCACTCCGCTTGTTTACGTGGAATGGGAAAGAGGAACCGCCTCATTCTTTGCCTCAGAAAGCAAAATATATTGGGTTGGCCCTGGGCACCCCCTTAGTGACCACATATAATTATAGCTATTTTACTGCCCTCTGATGGTTCCCTTCAATCTTAAATGGCCAGATAAAGTAGTCTAACAGGAGGATGCATCAAATGTAGGCCAGCTCTGATTCCCTGATGTTTACCGTTAGACCAGATAGCTGTGGCATGGATAGAAGCTGCAGTTTCTGAATGTCCCCACTCAGTCTTCACTGGTAGAGTTCACTGATCATCCTTCTTTTTATGGTGTAGGATAAAGACTTTGGGATGCATTTAAGAGGCAGGATAGCATACGGCATCATAAGCAATGGTGAAGGAAGAAACCATTGCACAGGCTTCTACAACCTAGTGCCCTCCAGATGCATTGGCTACAACTCCAGTACATCTGGAGAGAGCTTGGTATGGTGCAGTGGTCAGATTACTGGCCTGGGACTCTGATGATCTGTGTCGTGATCCCCACTCAGCCATGAAGCTCACTGGGTGACTGGGCCTGGGACTGACTGTCAGCCTAACCTATCATACAGGGCTGTTGTGAGGATAAACAGGAGAGGCGGGCAATTTTGTAAGCTGCCTTGGTTTCCTTGCAGGAAAAAGGCAGATCTAAATATAAAATTCCATCATCACTAGCCATTTTGTTGTCTTGTTCAACTAAGTTTCATATTTATCTAGCCTCTTTATTGGCTGTTGCAGTATTTAAGATGCTAGATGAAAAACTTCTTGGAAAAGAGGTAGTTACTGCATCTCTTTTTGCTTTGATGAGAATGGTCTCATTTTTAAAATCAAGTAACCTCCCCAGTGGACTGTGGGAATGCTGTGCATAATATAGCTTGAATTCAGTAAAGCGTTTGACAATGTATCCCATGATATCCTGATTAGCTAGCTAAAATTGGTTAGATGGAAGAACTATTAGGTGGATCCTTAATTACAGAATCAAACTGAAAGAAGGCATGTCATTGGCATCTTCTCAAACTGGGGAGAGGAACCAAGTGGGATACTGTAAGATTCAGAACTAGGCCCACTGTTCTTCAACATGTATACCACTGGTTAGGATGAGGAGGTACAGGCAATGCTTATTCGGTTTCAGAGAGGATGATTAAAAATGTTTAAAAAATCAGATTTTAAACATTTAAATAAGTTTTTATTTAAATTGAATTTTTATTTAAATTGGATTTTTAAAATAAAATTCTTTTTGAGAAAAAATCTATCCAAAGATAGTTTTCCATTTAAGATGCATTATAGTCCAAAGGTTATTCATCATGAAATAAGGATTCATTTTTAATCCTTTAATATTCAGGCATTTTGTGGGGGGTGGTAAACAAATTCAATTAATCCATTCACAATGGATCATGCACTTCCAGAGGTTTCTCTTAAGATTACTGGACTATTTTTCTGTCTAGTAGATATTATTACTTGGCTTTACAGTTCACAAAAATGTTTATTTGGGTCTGTAGAGATCACATGCCTCTTCTTCACAGCAAAAATGTTATAAAATAAACATACAGAATTGAAAAACAACTCTAATCCCATTGTTCCTTCGCAAATCTATGCACACAAAATCGACACCTTGCTTCTTAAGTGCTAAATTAAAAATCAATGAATAGAAAATTGTTGGGAGTGGAATAGATCTGCACAAGAAGCTAAGTGTTAGGAAGGAGAGGTAAACAGTAAAAATGAAAGTGAAACCTTTTGAGCAGAATATTCCACAAATCGTTGGCTTTTTTGTGTAAAGCCTGAGGTTTATCATATTACACTTTCTCTGGAGGAGAAAACCTATAATGGGAGCAGGTCATAAAAGAGACCCAGTCTGGGAATATTTAGATGAAACTCCCCTACCTACGGGTAAGGCAGGCATACATGCAAATTATGTAGAAAATCATGATTTAAATCTAGTCTTACTAGTTATTTAAATCATAATTTAAATCAAATTCACCCTGGTTTAAGAAGACACAAATTAGGGTGGAATAACTAATATCTTGGAAGACAGAAACAAAATTCAAGGTGATCTTGATAGGTTGGAGTGCTGCACTGAAAACAACAGAAGGAAATTTAACAGGGACAAATGCTAAGTCCTGCACTTTGGGAAACAAAAAACAAATTCATAGTTACAAGATGTGGAGCACTTGGCTTTACAGTACAGTGGCACCTTGGCTCATGAACTTAATCCGTTCCAGGACTCTGGTTGTGACCCAAATTGGCCCTGAGCCAAATCAAATTTCCCCATAAGGATCAATGTAAATAAGGTTAATCCGTTCTGCAACTATTTTTTTTTTACTCACAAAAATGTGAAGCAAAGTGACAAAGAACAAAAAAAATTGCAGCCATCTCCCCCGCCCCAGCGATTGTGTGGGGAGGGGGGAGGGGGGCGCGATCGTGGGCACACTGGGGGGCGGAGGTGGGCACGGGCGCTCTGGGGGGAGTCAATCATGGACGGGTGCAATCATGGCCATCTTCGCCCCAGCACAAACGTGGCCATCCCCCCCCCCACACACACACACACACCCGTGCAGGGAAGGCAGGCACACTCGTGATTGTCACCCGATGCAGAGTTCACGACCTGTAGCAAAATTTTTATGAAATTTCTGTTTGCAACCCAATTTGGTCATGAACTGAGGCATTCGTGAGCAAAGTACCGCTGTACTGTAGATGAGAAGGATCCTAGAACTGCTGTATATCCAAAACTAGATATGTGTCAACAGTGTCATCCAGCTACAAAAAAAGGAAAATGCTGTTTACGACTGCAGTAATAGAAGTATTAATAGTATTCCTATACTCACCATTGGTTAGATCTCATTTTGATTACAGCATCCAGTTCTGGGCACCACAATTTAGGAAAGATAAACGGCAAAAGAGGGCAACAGAGATGATCAGGGGACTGGAAATAAGGTCCTATGAGGTCCTACTGTAAAAACTGGGCATGTTTATCTTTGAGAAGAGAAGACTGAGGGGAGCTATGATAGCATTTTTCAAGTACTTGAGCAGAGGTCACACAGAGGAAGTCCAGAATCTTTTCCCGATCATCCCAGAGTGCAGAACTTGAAATAAGTTGCAGGAAGCCAAATTCCCACTGACCATGAGGAAAAATGTCCTATTAGAACAGTATGACAACAGAACCAGTGACCTTGGGAGGTCATGGGTTCTTCTATGCTGGAGGCATTCAAGATGCAGCTGAATGACTGTCTGTTAAGGATGGTTTAACTTAAACCATCCTTAAGATGCGTAAGGGATGGGACAGGGGCTGGGGAAATGCATTTTGCAGAGTCCTGCATTTTGCAAAGGGTTTAACCCAGTGACGTTATTAGCTCCATCCAACTCTACTGTTATATGATTATAAACGTTGCCATTAGGTAGGCAAAGCAGATGATTCTCAGACACTGGCTGTTTTCTCTTCCACTCCTTAGTACATTCTCACTATTTCTGTTCAAATGCAGTTTGCTGGCCTGATGGATCACTAAGTGGCAAACAAGATGCCATGGCAGAGTTCTGTGTGTTTAAATGTGGAATTGCCCCAGTCGAGAAGGGGAACTCAGATGAGAGTCTGAGTGTTGTTCCCCTGTTATTTTCCCGTGCTTCCTTTCCTTCTTTTGTCTGTGGTCTGCACACCTCACCTGCACACCCCTTTTGCTTAAAAATCGTTCCTGCAGCTTTCTTGATGTTCGGTGCATTTCTTTGTTACAACATTGTTGTCATCTGCTTTCACACCAGTTAAGCATTGTAAGAATGGCATCTGCCAGGACTTCTGTCTCCCACAGGAAGAAACTGTTCCTGGGCTTTGCTGTCAGGGCTGCAGGTGATTTCCCCAGCCCCTGTCCCATCCCTTACGCATCTCCTTGCCCAAAGTCTGTGTTTAGTTTCCTGCTCTAACTTGTTTGCTACAAAGCCTCATCAGTCTCTGAGTATACATTTGGCCATTCATTGTTCAATACATGACCAGACAAGTGAGCTGGTGAGCTGTGGATAGTTTGCTCCATCCAACAAATCTCTGATAAAACCATGGCCCTTTTGCAAGAAATTTCTCCCACATTCAGCAGAAGCTGGCCCATATTTTATGGAAGAAGCAATGGGGAGCCATGCTGTTTGATCTGACAGCCCCACTTTGCTTTTGGGAAGTATTTAGCAGACCTGCTTCCTTGTACAGGAACAGAAGTAAGGGTGATACTCAATGCATCTTCCTTCCTGGCATAAATATGGTTTTCTGCTAGAATGAAAAGAGTTGAATGTATATGCATTGGTAATTAAACCTCCCCTTGTGAAAAGGCCGGTGTCTGTCAAGGCAATCTTTTCTCTAAGCTCATCCATAACCAACCCCAATCAATTAAGCATTATTTTTAATTGTATCTGTGGCACAGTACAATTTCTGATATAATTGCTTTCTATACACTTTAAAATTAAACTGGGAGAGGTGTATCTTTAGAGACAGGTATTGCTCAAGAAAAAAAAGACAGAACCTGATTTATAAGCCAGCTTTTGTTTACTTTATATGGTTTTCACTTAATATTTCTAATGTTATCCTGGTAGCATTGCTCAGATGACAAAGTGTTTTACAGTATTTATATTGGAATGAACCAGTCAGAATTTTTACTTCAGTGGGCTGCATCCCAAATTAGTCTGATTTAAGTTCCATTCATTTCGGTGGGATTTAATCTCACTGGGTGACTTTTGGCCAGTCATGGACTCTTAATCTAACTTACATCAAGGGTTGTTTTGCAATAAAAAGGGGGAGGAAGAGAATTGTATAAGCCATCTTGGGTTCCTTACAGGAATAAGATGGGATATAAATATAATGCGTAAAATAAATAAATAATATAAGATACAATCCAGTATGTATTCTTTCTTGCATCACTGTCCATTGATGCAGTAGCTTGGGGTTTCCTGTTCAATTTGTATCAACTGATGAGTTCTTTTCTTACTTCCAGCATTTCAAGAAGAGGCAGCCCCAACCGGCCAGCTTCTAGTGAATGGGTCGAAGGAGGCAGACCCTCAGCTCAACATGGGGAAGGCAAAGGAGCTGATGACTGTGAATGCAACTGCCAATGGACAGAAGGCAATTTCCAGCTGCAACTGACTATGAACCTGTTAGCTATCTTCTGTGGCATCCCTGATAGAAGATAAGGTGACACCAAAACATCCAGCAAAAACTGGATTGCAAATATAGCTAGAATGGGCTTCTGTTTTCCTGCACTGTCCTTGCTGTGACATTTGCCAGCTCCTGACAAAATCTCCTGGCACACTGCTGTAGCATCTGCCTTCAGTAGCTTCATATACAGTGATGCACCTCTGAACTTTGTAGGCTACATTCAAGTCACAGATGTAGCACTTGACAGGAGGATAAGCTGTTGTTTGGTGTTCTAGCAGGCTTGTGCTAGATGGGCAGTGCTGTAATGAGCTGAACCATAAGGATGAAGGGAGTGAAACTCATTACTTAAGCTGTGCACACCAGTGACTGCCTGATGACTTCAGAGCTAAAAGCTAGCAGCCATCCTTGGTGAACTGAATAAGTGACCCAGAAGGAGCAACTGTGAGCCTGCCATTCTAATTTGAGAAGTCACATGCTACCAGGAAGATGTCTGCAGGACTAGAAGCAGAAGCCGAATAAGAAATGCAAGCACCTTAAGAAAGAGCCCATCAAGGGGGTTTTGATATGCCCTTAAATAAGTTGCCTTTTTAGCATTGTACCTTGACAACCTTCTACTTAGAGCTAGAGAACAAGGAGAGTATGGACAGAGCTCAGTGAATCACACCAGTGTCCCACCAGTGCACACCAGTGTGCATCACTGAAACCTGGTCAATTGATCGCATTAGATGCATTAAATGCTATTAGCAGGATCACAGGGAGGGATGTTGTGAGCATTATAATAGGAATGCTCAGAAAAGTGAGCATCCCTATTTGCATTCATGCAAGGAAGATGAGCAGGGATCTGCTCTCCTCTGTCTGTGAACTCCACTGCCATTGACCCCTTCCCTATTAATTTACTTTGGGAAACAGTGAAGGGGCCAGTGCAGGAAGATGGGAATTCCCTTTGACCTGGCAAACCTTTGTCCATCAGGACTAGCAGTCCTAGGAACCCCAAAGAAGAATCCCCCACCTAGAACCATGCTTTATCAGGGTTCCTGACCTCATGGTGAGTTCTATTCACATTCAAGTGAATGCCTGGGGAAGCCTACTGCTGCCATTCCTGCTCAGCACAGGAAGGTTGGGAGCAGAGACACTGGGCTCAGCCCATGGGGGACGTTGGAGTGGACCAACGCACATGGTGTTATGCTGTATACATAGGTTGATAATTCCTGCTTAGGCAAAATGCTTGAATAGGGCTGATGTATAATAAAGTCCTAGAGTTAGAAGGGATCTTACAGGTAATTTGTTATTTGGGAAATCTACTGCTATAATGCTTTACTAATGACATTTCAAGAAAACCAACAACCTATTTGTCTGCCATTAGAAAACTGCCTTTACTATAATTTCCTAGTTAGGTGCATGTCATGGGCAGGTCTTTCCTCTCCCTTGTTTCCTCTCCAGCAGTCTTAGACAAGACTTTAGAAGCACAGTCCTTTTGTTAGAGCTTAGAAGATGACAAAACAGTATGAATCAAAGTAGTGTTCTCTTTGAAATGCGGGAGAATTATCTACCTGTGTGCAGAGTTGAATCTAAACTGAATCACCTCCTCCATCCCTCCCTTTCAGGAGATTCTGACTCCATCCTGCTGCTTGAGGGTTAGATGGCAAGACTGTCAGACACTTCTTAATTGGTCTGCTCACTTTGCCTGCCGTCTCTCGTCCTCGATTCTGCCCCTACCCATTATGAAATGTCTCCCTTTTTTCCCAAGTTGGGCTGGTTCTCATGCTCTGTCTGAGACAGCAAATCCATCTGCCCACCTCTGCCTTTTTGCCTACCCCTCAGAATCAGACAAATCTGTTTGAGTAGACTAAAATGCAAGAGCTGGGCCCCCCCTCTATAGCACATCACTCTGTAGCTGCCTGACTTTTGTTGATAACATGGACCTATAGCTGTAAAACAGTACGTAATGAATCAAAGTACCTGGGATCACAAAGGGGGGTCATTTATCAAGACAGCCTGTGGTGAAAGGATTGGCCAGTAATAAAAATATGTGTTCTACATATTTAGATGTATATTGGTCGAAATGACCCATGTTCTGACAAAGAGGAACTGCACCATGGTAATAAAAGAGTGGTACATGCCTCCAACTCATCCTGCATCACATTTCATGCAACTATGGTTTATAAACCTTGGTGGGAGGAAAAGAGGGAGCAGCATGGAAGAATCTTTATGTAATAGCTCTGCTCATTATTTTGCACCTTGTTGCAATTGGGCTTAGTGCAATCTCATTCCTTAGCCCGGGGGCCGGCAGCCTACGTCTCCGGAACCGCATGTGGCTCTTCCATCCTTTGCTGCGGCTCCCTGTCGCTCAAAATATGCGTCACAACCGCCAATGTGCGACACCCGCTGGCACGGGATTATTGAGCTTTTCGACCCCCAGTAGGCCAACCATGGATAAATCCGAGAAAAGAAAAGTTTCAGAAGAAAACAGAGCATTTAATGGTACATGGGCAGATTCATTTGCTTTCACTGCTGACGAGGCTGGTTTACCAGTATGTTTAATATGTGGTGAGAAATGGGCAAACAACAAAAAGTCGAATGTTGCAAGACATTTCCAGAATAAACACACAGGCTTTGCTGAAAAATATCTGGCTGAAGATGAGAGAACAAAAGCCATTTCGGAAGCGATGCGGAAGGTTGATCTGAGCAAGAATCATTTCAAGAAGTGGATCAAGTCTGCAAATTCAACTATATATGCTAGTTTTGTGGCCGCTCAGGAAATAGTCAGGCACGGGAAGCCGCTCACAGATGGAGATTATATAAAAGAATCATTCATTGATTTCATAAATGCAACACACTATAGTGTTTTTATACATAGCATAAAGGTAAAAAAATGATATATGCATTGATATCTTCATTTTAAATGTCAAAAGGGTTTTGTGGCTCCTGGTGTTTTCTGTGGGAAACGGATCCAAATGGCTCTTTGAATGTTTAAGGTTGCCGACCCCTGCTTTAGCCTATGGCTGGAGGACCTGTGGCTGTCCAGATATTGATGAACCACTGTCCCCATCAAGCTTCACCATTAACCATGGTCACAGGGCTCGTGGAAATAGTAATTTAGTATCTGGAGGACTATAGGCTATCTAGCCCTGCTTTGGATGACTGGAGAAACAAGAAGAGCAAAAGGGCCATGAAATGACCTAACATTGTTCGTATCATCAGCATTTAAAAAGTAATGTTGACACAGAGAGATACTAAATGCAAAAACTGGCCAAGACCTTTAATATCAGTGGCTGAGAATTCTTGCTTGGCAAGTTGCCCATGCCAAAATCCTTCTTTTGTAAAACTGAGGGTCCTTTCCAGCTGGCCAAGTGGGAATATACCATGAACAATTAAAGGTGAGCCCATGTTTACTCAATGATGGGATTAAAGCTAAGTTGTAGACATGAGTCAGTTGAAGACTATCACAGTAGCTTGGCTTCCATTTCTTGTTCGCCACATGAAACTAAATGTATTTTATAAAGAAGGGACTATAATGAAAATGCATGGGAATGCTGAAGGAATGAGGCCATGCATTGAAAAGACAGTGCAACCACAATGGCCACACCACTTTTCAGTGTCTAACAAAATGGTCTGCAATGCTTTCAAAAGTTTAAGCTGTTGAAGTGGATTAGTCTTTAAGGTACAATAAGATCAAGTGGTTTTCAACAAGCATGAAAACATGCCTCTGCTCCTGAATTGTATAATGGCCCAAGGCAGTGGTTTTAGAAAGGTCTACCTGTGCAGAATCCTTTTCAGATTCCCAAAGAATCATTGGGAGTACTGGGATATTGGGTGGACATGGATGTTAAGCCCAGGATGGCTTTGTAGCCATCCTGCACTTAAAGTTGCCGGGAGCCCCAGCTGTGCTTGACTAATAATGGCACAACAGGGGTCCTCAGGCACTGCCCCCCCCCCACACTCTCCCACTCAGTCCTCCAGCACATATCTCAGAATACACTGGCATAGGCTGACAAGGAAACTTTTCAGCAGCTGCTCTCCGCTTACCAGCTTGGTGCTCCTGCCAAGTGGGAGCAAGGTCAAGAGGTTGGATCTCACCCAAAGCCAAAGCAAATTTGCATGGAGAATGGGCCAGGCCTGTCAGGTTTTGCGGCTGTCCTGCAAGAACTGAGGTCATAGCCTAGAACGATAGCAACCAATCCCTTGGGGCTGCGCATTGTGGAGGGAGATCATGGTTGCGGTGCTTCTTTCCAGGGAAGCTCAATCATCATTTCTGATCATCTCATTGAGGTACCACTGATAAACCTGTTCCTGAACCTGGCCTAAGCTTCTACCCAAAACTGAAGCTAAACAGGATAAAACAGCTTTCCTTAAACTGGTGCCCACCAGTTGTTGGATTATAACTCCCATCATCCTCAGTCAGGGAACTCATAATTCCAGGTATCTGGAGAGTACCAGGTTAGAAAAGGCTGATCAGACAGTGCTGGAAAGAAGACAAGGAAAATGTGGAGATGTTCAAAGATAATGGTACTCAGTATAATATTTCTCTCCTATAAAGCCAAAGTGGACTGTAGTATCATAGTAACATGTCATCTCTGTGAAAAATTAAAAATTAGGGCACCACCCTAGAAACCATCTGCTTAATAAAAGTGAACATGGAAGCCAGATGGGTTAATTTTATTTTAAAGAAGTACATGCTGCCTTTTAGGACATAGGCCTTAAAAGTTGCATATAACAACAACAGGAGATTCATGAAGGTCCATTTGAACTGTCAAGCCACAAGAATACCATACTACTAGGCAAAATATATTCTCGAGAATCAGTTGCCTTTGTCTCAGAAAGGCAGCCTGAAGAAACAAATCTTCAAGGCATGCTTGAAAACTTGCACTGAATGTAGGGACAGTGTGTTGCTCTGTACAGACTTCAACTTGCCCCTGAACTTTATGGGAGAAAACTGACTAAAACAGAAATCCAGACTCCACCTATCTCCTGAAGTCCCCAGAGGCCAGATTTCTGGGCTGGGACCTGGGCGATGGTGGTTATACTCATGAGGATGCTGCATGGGCTTGCCCTGGCATAAAATGCCTGTACCGTACAGGGGTCCCAAGGCTGTTTTTGTTGTTGCATCACAAGTGGCACTTAAAGAGGCTCTGCTCATGGAAGTTTAATCAGGCTAACACTATCCTGTGGATAACACTGGAGTTACTCTGTGCCAAGAACACCTGAATTCTGTGTCCAGTTGGGAAAACATGTACAGGGCTTTTTGTTTTCATATGTGATACCTAGATTGCACGAAACGCCACTCCAGTTGACAGGACTGAGTATAAAAAAAGCAGGGCAAGGCAATGAGCAGGTGGACTCATGAGGACCAAGCAATGAGCAACTGCAGACATTAAACTTTAGCATTCAGTCTCCATTGTGTTGTTATGCCCCTTTTCAACAGACCTTTATCTTCTAATATATTTTAGTCTGAGTTAGCAAGGCAAACATTTAAATGCTGCCTTTTAGGGCATATAAATGCACTGTGCTAGTTGTTGGGAAACGTGATGGGAGGGTGCTGTTGCATTCGGATCCTGCTTGTCACTTTCCCAAGGATTGCACCCAGTCTGCCAAATGGCTCTCCTTCTTATCCCATGGCTCGTGTTATTTCAGCCCTAAGCTTAACACATTCTGCCCTTTCCGAATTTCCATTCTCTAGGCTTTTGCCTGGGTTAATTTAAGACTGGAAAAAATGTAACATACTGAAGATAGCAGATGCATCCTTTTCTAGAAGGTGAAAGATGTTTGAGTCCTGGACCAGCTTCTGAGGTCTTGTCTTCCACTAGTGTCCTGATGTGAATAGAATTGCATGCTACCTTTCCCACATTACATGTTCATGTATTTTAAATCAAGGGTGTTCTGCTAGGTCAGCCCTTCAAATAGGCCTTTCTAGCTACTGCTGCCTCAGAATTCCATCCAGATTCTACCTTTAAGTTCTTCTAGACTGAAGTCACCCTCAGAGATCTTCCAGGTGCTTTCAAGGTGGGAAGGGAGGTCAAGATGCCCCAGTATGAAAAGAAAAAAAAAAGGGTCACAATTGTACTGAAGCTGTTCATGAATGCTATAGAATGGGAGAAGAACAAAAACTCACTGTTTAAGGATCTCCCTCCTTCCTCTCAGCTTTAGGTCTCCTTCCCTCTCGCTGTACCACTCTCCTCATGAATACACAACTCAGCTTGGCTCCACTCTCTTCAGCAAAGCTTTCCTGCCAAGGTGAACCAAGTAAGTCATTGCCCTACGTTGCTTGGGCCTAAAAAATGGGGACAGCACTTCCTCCTCCTCCTCACCTACCATAGCAGTCTTCTTGACCTAATCATCCTTGTGGGAGGAGGCTCAGCCTCACTGGCCGACTCTGTAGTGGGTGGGGGATCTCATTCCACTACTCCCCTCTTCTGGGGTCCTTGAAGCCTACATAGATTCATCCTGAATCTGTTCTAAATTAGCCTCAGAGTTTGTTTCTTTCTCTTGGGTTCCACTCTAGCACAGAGGAGATTAATATTTCCACTGAAATGCGAGACTGTAGGATTGGTTAGTTCACATCACTTTTCTCTCTGCTTTTGGGCACTGATTTTTTTTAAGATTCTTTTAACAAAGGGCAAAGTCACAGAGTCTATTGCTGAAGGAAATAAGTGGGAGATTAGTTTCTAGGCACATGTGGCTTTGGTTTGAAATCAACACAAAGTAGATCTACTACCCTGTAACAACAATGCTGATAAATCATAGATTCCTCAACAAATGGGGTTGCATCTAGAAGCCTTACTCCCAGGAGCTGTGATGTGTTGCTGTGTGCTTGGACATAAGAAAATGTCTCTTCCTTAAACAAGATCTAAATGTTTGAATATGGACACTGAAATGTATATATTCTGTAGGATAGTTTAAAAGAATGAAAGCTTTTCGAGTTACTCATACTTTTTCATCCATTAGAAAACTGCCAGATTATGGATAGTTTTATGTAATTTAAAATGCATATCCCTATCTGCATATATTGACAAAATAAGATCTGTATGATATGAAACAAATCATATTCTTTTCCGTATGTGTCTCAGTTCCTGATGCTTCCTTAACATATTGGGTGTATGTAATGAAGCTCATCAGAGCCTAATGACACAATCCTATGCAAGTTGAGACAGAAAAAGGCCCACAACTGGCTAAGGCATGCTGGAGTTGTAGGGGGTGGTAGTTCTGTTTAAGCTTGCATAGGATTGCACCTCAATTTGGCTAGTTTGTTTATCTCCATTGTATCTCATGTGCCTGAGCGAATACCTCACTGGGTTGAATGGAAGCCACTGCCTTTGTCTGTGAATCAAAATATCCCAGTATTATTTATTATTTTAATAGGCTTGCTGTAGGGCTTCTGGGATTCCACCCAAGGAAAACAGAGATAAACTTTTGCCTCCTCGAAGGAATCTTTCACTCCACAGCACAGCATACATACTCCCTTTTTCCCTTCTTTCTTACTGGAGCAATCATGTCCTGACTCAGCTGCCAATCTGTAAATCTCTCGCCCACGCAGACAGATGTGCCATGTCTCTTGCTGCCAGTTCTTGGTTTTCCACCAAGTGCTGTTCCAGAAGCAAAAAAGGCTGACCGTACCCTCTCCTCTGGTGGAATGGGGTCTTGCTTTCATTGAATATCAAGTTATATATAGGTTTTGTGGTAGCAGAGAAAAGATTTTCCTGTGCATTAGAGGCACTTCAATAGTGATGAATGGATATCTTTGGGTCATGAATGCACACCAGTGGCGTATGGGTGGTCAAAGGGAGGCCCAGTGTTGTAGCCATTAGGAACCATAGCTGCTGGAATGACAGGCAGCTGTTTGGGAGAAAAAAAACCCTCTATTTTGTTAGAAAATCTCTGAGTCATTCTGTTCTTGAACTGTGAAGGATAAATCCTGCTCACTGACCTTTAAAGCTCTTGCACCAGCTGCCTAAGAAAAAGAAGAAAAAATGGACAGGCAGTGGTTGTGTAAGATCACCAGCTGGAGGAAATTGTATTCAGATAAGGCAACACTGGGGAAAACTAAACTGAGGCGCATAATTGTACACTCACTTCACCCAGTTGCAAAGGTTTACTTCTTGGCCTGGTTCAGATGTAATGAATGGGACACCATGGCTTCCCACTGAGAACCAAATGGGGTATACATTGGCCTGCACTTTCCACTTTTGTCTTTCTCCTCAGGGTATCAGAGCAGGGGAAACTAAGCCTCTGTTTCCAGTTTAAACTAATCACAAGTTCCTGTGACATTCACATTTGGGAAATTGCATATTGTTTAAACCAGAAGTAGACAACATCTTGTTCAATGGTATTTTTGTGTCCCATGTTCATCTGTGTTGTGCCACCAGATTTCTGGCTGAAAGTAGGCAATTTCACTTGGAAAGGAATATGTTCCAGAGTTGCCTCTTTTTAAAGCAAAGTTGGGTTGGGGGTTCCTGTGGTGAGTAAAGGCAACAGAGAAGGCCCAGAAATCTTTGCCAGGTAGTTCAAATCAGCCAGAGATCAACCTATCAATCTAAATCTATTTCCTGCCTGTTCATGATTTAAAACAACCCACAGTTCTTCAAATTTATATGACACAGGGAACTGTGGTTAGTTTAAGGTCAAAAGCAAATGTGTTCAGTCTGCTTCTCCTGCCCACAAAAGAAAAGAAGGGAGTTCTGTGTCTCATTTTCATAATGGGAAACCATAGTTTTCCAGTAAATTTGACCTGTGCTTTAAAGTCAGATAATGTGGGTGTCACTTAAAAATGGTATTAACAGAGCAATATTTGACATTCACAATTGCTTCTGATTCTCTTCCCCTGAGGGATGGGGAAAAACCTTTCCTAAAAGTTAGGAACCTTTCTAAAAAAGAAGTCTCAAGTTTCAAATACAGGCTAGTTAAAAAGAGATAGTAGTGATTCTAAAGGAGGACAAGAAAATAGAGAAATGAGGAATCTGGAAGACTAAGCTAGTTCAGCTCACCCCTGCTGGCCCAAAATGGCAGGTGGAGCCATTGAGGAACCAGCTTCTGTTCCTACCAGCAATGGCCGCCATGTTGGCTGGGGGACAAGCCACATCCTCCTGGGCTCCTCCCATGAAGACCATGGAGAATGCAGTGATACTGGGAGAAAGGCCAGGAAAACACAGTCCCCTTGCCCATCGTGCAGATCGCCCCATGGGGCAATCCCCAACATGACCCCCTCTGCCTGGCACCTTGAGCTGTTGCATGTGACAGGAACGGGAGGAGGAGGGCTGGGGGATCCACTTGTCCTGCTGCTGTTGGCCCCAGCAGAGAAGTGTTGCTGAGCAAATGCTCTCTGCCCATATTAGCATTAGGGAGCCTCTGACACTTGTCCAAAAGTGACTCTTGGGCACTTTTAAGCAGTTGCCATCTATGTTCCATGCTGCTCAGTGCTCCCATGGCTGCAGGACAGAGCAGGGAGGGTGAAAGAAAGCGCCTGAAGACCCCATCTGTGCCCAAAATCTGCTGGGTACTTTGTAGGCCTGAGGGCAAACAAGCCACATTTTATAGCTATCTACACAATTGTTGTGTTGTGCAAGTCCACTGGGTTCACATGACACACTGAACCATGGTGGATATTGAAGCCACCATCACTTGGAATGTCATCCAACCCTAGTGCACTTTATGTAGAGTGGTTAGTTTGTGACCATGACTTACTATTGTATGATTGGCTAATGAGTCATGTGGCAACAACAGCTGTGAAAAACTGTCGCCACTCCTGTGTATATGGACAAACTTGTTTCCCAAGGTCTGCCTAGCAACAGATTGCGTTGTGGCTAACCCTTTGCTAACCCTCTACCTACCAACTTATCGAGATCTGGCTGGCCACATCCACTGTCATCCCTCCCAACTAACATTTCTCACTTCCCGTCACAAGGCAACTGAACAGCCATCTGAGAAGGTGGTTTAACTTGGAGTCCTGCACTGAGGAGTGGCTTGGATGCAATGGTCCTCTGGCCCCTTCCAACTCTACTATTCTATGATTCTTTCTTCTCCTTCCTTCTTGGAAGTGCTTTTCTCTTGCTGCATGTTATCTGCACACTGGCCTAAAACACAGAGCTTGTTTCCCTGCCTGATGGATCTGCAGTATGGATGCTGCCTCTCTCTGCCCTGCTGTATCTTCCCCCACTGGTAAATGCAGTAAGATCATATTCCTAATAGTTTTTGTTTTCAGAAAAATTCAATAAATATGCATTTGCTAGGCTTTGCTGTAGCAAACATGTATTTGTTTAATGGCAGGAAAAGCTGAAAAACGGATAGGTTGTGCAGGGAGTGAAAGCAGAAGGAAGGTGCAGGCACAAATGCAGCCAAAATCATCATCATCATCATCATCTGCTCACCTAGCAAGGATTAGGGTTCTTTTGACTGGGGCAATTGTAATGGAGGCAATTGGTGGAGTCAGGAACAGTGGGACCCAGAAGAGGGAATCTATTGGCATTGCAAGAGCCAGGAAAGCTCTGAGGAAAGCTGAAACTGTGAGGCAGGAGATCGGGCCAAACAGGGAGAAGTGGGCCTGCTGCTTGAACTGGTCTTTGGTGGAGAAGGAGTTGTGGAGATTGGACAAGAAAATGGTGGTGGGGGGGAGACTTGGGGAAAGCATGAACATGTCTCGCCTGCAAAGCTCGGGCACTTTGGATAGCTGTCATCAGAGCTACTTGGTAAGAGTGACAAGGTTCTCTGCAGCTTTTGCCAAGCAGCTCTGAAGGCTTTTGGGCCGTCCCTGGGCTCCTTGTATTGTCCACACCTGGACAACATGACAAGCCCGGGAGTGGCAACAAAATGGTACAACATGCTGTGGCTTCCTGAGGGGGCTTCATGGCTACAAAGAAGCCACCTCTGGGAGGCATTAGTTTTGGACAATATGCTAAGTGCTGTGGTTTCAAAGACATGGTGGCTTAGCATGCCTTGACAATCCATTCAGAGATCTTTTAGGCTAGTTTGGTTTAGACATCCAGGGAAAAGCTTGTCACCTGGTGGCAGCAAAAAACTCCACATCAAGGAGTGGATGGCATGCTATTGTGTCTGTTTTCCTTTCCACGCATGGAATGGGGCATTGCTATTCCATAAGTCTTGTTAAGCTGAGCAGGGCTGTTCCACACAACTTGAGAATTGCTAGCAATGTGGCTTCCATGACAGAACCCTTTGCGTGAATTGTGGGCACCAGAATAAATAACAGCAGGAGTCATATTTTGTCCTTCCTGAAAGCAATGCCAGCTACGCTGATTGGGTGAACCCAAGTCCCAGTACATCTATCCTGCTGTCAAGTACTGGGGCTCAACGCAAGTGAAGCTTAACATTTGAGCATCTGCAAGTCAATGCCAAGGTACAAAACCATCAAGGAAATGTTAAAACTTGCCCATAATAATGGAACCATTAATAAATTAACTAAAGATTTGTTCTTTCAAGAACACATGGAACCAGGAAAAACTTCCAGAACAAAGGATACAATGTTATTTTGTAAATGCCAAAAAGAGGGAGAGAAATAATTGCAACAGTTGGCAAAGTGTTCCACTTCTTAAATCTTTCTTCATTGTCTTATGAGAGCAGAGGAAGTAACTAATCCAAAAAGAAGGATGAAAAGAAAGCTCGGCTTACACTGGAAAGATCTTATAATAGCTTGATTGTCATAACTGGAACAACTGTCCTCAAAGAGACAAAAATCACGCTGAATGAATTTTGCAGCTTAAACAAACAAGCTGCACAGTATTTGGGAGATCTGGAGCCTGCAGCTCAGTACTTTGTGTGCAGAAAGTTCCAGGGTCAATGTCTAACATCTCCAAGGAGGGCTAGGAAAGAATCCCACCTGAAATCCTGGAAAGCCAATGCGGGCACCTCACTCAATACGGGCAGCTCTGATAGACCAATGAACTAATATAATGACTAATGATCAGTTTAAGGCACTTTCCTTGCTAGCACTGTTTGTATGTGGACCAATTGAATCATCAACCTTAACATCAACCTTAACCCAGGCAGATAAAGTAACCTAAGAAATAGTACTCTCATCATGTCTGAGTTGGATTGGGCCCATCATACCAAAGCACTTTCTTCTGCTCTTATAATGCAACATAACATCAAAATGTGCATCTTTTTGAACTATGTATCTGAAAAGGGCTTATCAGCAATATAGTAAATGCATACCAGGACAGTCACTTCTATTCAAAGGGAAGGAAAATGATTATGGAATCACAGAGTTGGTAAGGACCAATAAGGCCTTCAGGTCTAACGTCCTGCTCAATGCAGGATACTTCCTTCTTTCAGGATACTTCCACATGAATGATTCCTAGCGCTACCATTCAGAAGGCATCGTGCAGCTGTACTTTCCTTTTGTCCCTAATGGCTGTATTTGTGGAGAGCAAAAAGATGGAAGAAGCAGTGGGAAAACGCACAAAAGGTGCAAAGAGAAGAATAATTTGGATCTCTGTAATATTATCTGAAGAAGGTAGGGCAACTGTATGATTGAAGCTTTGTTTGGAAGCACCCTTACAATTGAAAGCATGTTACTCATCCACTATAGAACCTTCTTACTTTCCCTTTTCAGTTAATGGTCTGGATGCATTTGTGCACATGTGCCAATGTACCAATGTATCCTTAAGGAGTGTCATATAATTTATCACAAGTTGTGAGGGATTGGGAGGACTCGCCCAGTGTGGATGAATAATAGCACCAGCCAACGCACATTCAAGGCTTGTGTTGATGGCTATAGTTTGGCACACTGCAAAGAGAAAGGGGATGAAATGGGTAGGAAGAAAAGCAGGCAAGCACTATACAAAATGGGAGGAAAGGTGAGGGGGTAGAGACAGAAGGAGATGAGAGAGGAGAGGAACAGAGAGACAGGAGCAAGACAGGTAGGAAGTCCCTCCATTCAAGCATCCAAAGAGACATGGCAGATATTGATCTGTGAAATATGCTTTTACATTTTCTCACATGCCAAACTAACAATCTGGTTTAATCCAAATCTGAAGATCACCAGACAACTATTCCTCTGGGGGCATTGGGCTGAGAGAGGTATTCTCACTTTAGATCAGTTAACTGCCAAAGACTGTGAATTCCTCTCCTTCATACATCAACTGCTCCAAAACACACGCTGGCAATACCTTCAAAGGAAAGATATTTTCCATTCCCTATATGGCCTGCAGCATTCTCTTCCTTGGAATCTCCAGCATTATTGGAGAACTTGGCTATCTCTACAAAGACAACCAAGTTTTATATATTTACAGAAGACTCTTAACATACAACCAGCTTGACATCCAGACACTCAGAGAGGAGTGGAGTGGAAGAATTAGAATGCCACATCCAACTACATCAGTGGGAAATAGCTACACCATCTATACAATCCATACCCCCTGACCTGAAACCATTCCTTATACAGCAAAAGCTGGTCCTTTGAGCATATTGGACTTCACAGCACCTCTTCCAGAAAAACGATCACCCTCTAATAAATGTTAGCAATGTGAGACAGCAGAAGCAACATTAGTGCACATGTTTTGGAAATGCCTGGTAGTGGCCCCCTTCTGGACAGAAGTTGTTAGACACATCATCTCTATCCTAAATAAATCATTCTTGTTTAAAGATGTCAGTATGTGGCTTCCCACATCTTGGAAGCTAAATTTTGGCCACTGCAAGTGGCCTATATAAGCCTTCCTGGTGGCTAAGAGACTCATACTATGAGGATAGAAAGACAAATCATCTTTTCCAACCATGCAATGGATTGAAGACCTCACCACACTGGCATCCTATGAGATAATATACTACTGACAATAACCTCATCTCAATACTCATTCTGACATTTGGCCAATTTACCACAATCTATATTAATGAAGTAGAAGAAGAAATATTTGTGTGTGAGAGCATATATGTATACACAGTTCAACGTTTCTTTGATTGCTTCTTTGTGGCTATATGCATTATTGTTGTTGTTTGTTTGTTTGTTTGCTTTGCTTTGCTTTGTTTTTCCTCTTTTTTCTGTATATGAGTTTTTGGTTCTGCTCTTGTATTCTCCATGGTTTTTCACTCTTGTTTGGTTTTGTTGGGGGATGGGTTAGGGTTAGGGTTCAAATGGAAAATCAAATGGAAAACATAAATATGAGAAAAAGACAAGAAGGAAGTATGGCTTCTTACATAGCTTCTTTGACTGCCACTTAATTTATTGGGGAAAGACACAGTCCCTTAAAAGCAAGCTCTATAAAGATGTCCATGGACTTAACTTCCAGGGTCAGCCTTTTCTCGTGAAAAGATACCAGGGAGAAACCCCCAAGAAGGACTTAAGTTATAGGCATTGTTTCTCCTTGGGCATTTGGCAAGCAAAAAATGTGAGGGTATTATTTACCTGCCTAGGAATGACCCATGTTGTAAATGACGATGGAAAGCGCTATTTTTTTCAATTATTTTATACTCTGTTTGGAGACTACCAGTGCTGTTACTAGGATAGTATTTCTCATTATCTGTTTGAGTTAAAGCACATTGCAAGCTGGTGTCTCTCGCATGAGGTCAACCCATCGTGATGTGTCTTCATCATGAGAGCGGCTGACATAAGTGTTCATGCCATAGTAAGCTCCTACTTTCTGTACTGTCCTTTTTGGGACAGACTGATGGCCTGGATGTGTCCCAAAAGGTTTGGGGTGGCTTTTAGTGGTCAGGATTATGTTGAGTGCAGAATAATGGTCAGGTTTTCATTCTGACTTTAATTTACCTAGGGATGTGCATATGCGTGTGTGTGTGTGTGTGTGTGTTTTAATTATAATCTCCTGTGCCAAGCAAGCAAGCAAGCAAGGCCCCTCCAATTTAAACAACAGAAAAATACAACATCTCCATAAAGTATATTAAAAGAGTTCACAAATAGAAGACATACAAAATACACTACAGGAGTGAGCATACATATATACTATCTAAAGTACTGTAGGAAGATAGCTGTGGAGATGAGCAAAGTTACTCAAATACGCATTTGCCTTGGTGAGCAGCTTTGGAATGGATATAAGGGGAAATGAGCAGTGAAAACTCAAGGTGTTTGGCACAACATTTTTTTGGAGAGGACTCGGAGATGGTGCGAGAATATAACATTTTTAGCACTGATAATGTCTTACAAAGGGTATGTCACTTTTGCTCTTGCTGGTGCTGACATTTGCAACACAAAACAGCCCCAAACTTCATCCTACCTTTAGAGGAGATTCTCTTTTGAAGGGTTCATAGTTAAGCTGTGTTTCTACAAACCTCAACATATTGTTAGATAATTATGACAACTTACTTTCATCTCAACTGTATTGTGAGAATACAGTGATGTTCCTTTCCATGTTGTCCAGAATTCAGAGATTAATGCCTCTGCTGACCTCTTGTGGACAATTTGAGTGCTTCAGAGTTGCTAAACAGAAATTACAATTACTGCTGTTGTTTATCACTGAGAGAACTTCAGTTATTGGACAGTATAGAAATCCATCCATCCACAATATTTCCCAAGTATTCCCATTATGCATTGATCAGGAATAGCAGGAATACATTGCATAAGACCATAAAATAATTGATAAAAATGTTGCAGTTGTTGGTGCAACTGTTACTGCACTGTCAGTGTGAATGGCTCTTGATAGAATAATAGGAGAAAACTGGATAATGAAAGTTCTGGAGGGCATTGGGTTGGGGATGTGGTACAGATAAGACTGCCTGACAAAGTATCTCATTTGGTATATGGCAACTTCCTATATTTCTAGGACTTTAAGCAGCCAGCTGTACACAACAGCAATAATAAACAAATAATAACAATAAACAAAATAACAGCCCTAAAAATAAGAAAATGATGCCAGATCAGACCATCACTCCTAATTCTAGTTTTCATCCCTCCATTGGGAGAATTTACCCTTTAGTCCTACCCCCTGCTTTCTGCTGTTCAACCAGTTCTGATCCATACAATGCACATGGTGTTATTCCGTGACTGCTAAGTTTGCTCAGGTGTCTTTGGTGAGGGACTTTGCTTAAAGCCTCTTGGAAGAGACAACTGCTAATGTGACAAGAGAGGAGCACAGGCTAGTGCAATCCAATAAGGTGGCCAAAACAACTGCTTCTGGGATGGAACAACTCTGCAACATTTGCTGATTTGTCCTAGTCTGAAAGTTGTAGTTTCAGTAGTTTTCATTTGCACTGGATACTGCTCCTTGTTCCAGATGGCCACGGAAATAAAGAATTTTACTTTGAGGGAGGCTTTGATGAATTGGGAAGAAATACACCTTTGTCTTGCTTTTGACTATGGACTGTTCAGCTGCCTCACCTTGACCACATGAGCTGCATATTCCTGCTGATCAGACAATGATCAGACAATTTTACCTCCCTGTTGCAAGTCAACAGAGGCTTTTTCCTAAGAAAAGCCATGCTGGATTGGACCAATGTTCCATCTAGTCCAGCATTCTGCTCATATGGTGGTAAACCAGCTGCCCACAGGGTCTCAGGAACAGGACACATGTACTCCTGCCCAAGTCCCTCTACAACTGCTGTACATAGGCTGCCTGTCTCTGATACCAGAGGTAGCATATAACCAACAGAATGAGCAGTGTGCCCATTGAGAGTCCATGGATGTGTCTAATCCCCTTTAAAACCAAACAAATTAGTTGCCATAAGTACATATTGTGGCAGTGAATTCCATAGTTTAACTATTACTGTGTGAAGAAGTACTTTCTTTTATCTGTCCTGAATCTTCCACCAGTCAGCTGCATGGGGTGACTCTGGAGTCTAGTATTACGGGAAAGGGAGAAAATGTATAATTCTGAATACATCCATCAGGCCTCCTCCTTGCTGACTTTCTCCTAAGTTAAACAATCCGAACTGTGACTGTTTATTTACTTATATATGTATTGGATTTATTAGAGAGCTACCCATTAGCATCATTATTCCACATAGGGGAGTTGCTGGAACTCCTTCATCATTTTAGTTGCCCTCCTCTGCATTTTTCCCAGCCCTATAATGACTCTTCAGGTGCAGCAACCAAAACTGTACACAGTATTCTAAGTACAGTTGCACCAAAGACATGTGTAAAGGAGATACGATCTTGGCAGTTTTATTTTCAGTTCCTTTCCTAATTATGCCTAACATGGAGTTTGCCCTTTTCTCAGCAGCTAAACACTAGACTGGCATTTCCATCAAGCTGACAACCATAACCCCAAGATCTCTTTCCTGATTAGCCGCTACTAAGTGAGTTTTCCTCTTTCCAGTGGTTGAATATAGGAAAAAAAACACTGAGCAGTGGGGCCCCTTAAATCTTCTCCTAGTGTGCCACAATTTCAGTTTGCATTGGGGCCACACGGTCCTGTGAGAGAACAGAGCAGGCCAGCAGGCACAGCTTCACTGTGCTTATTTAAACCTCAGTCACAGTCTGAAGAGGAAAGGGGACAGTGATAGCAGGCATTTGAACTAAGCTCTGCTAAGTACCTGGTTGGTTTCAGGTTGGATATAGAGCTGTCCTTAGGACAAATGGATTAAGAAACATATGCTTAGTTTGTTTTATTACATTACCATCCCACTTACTTTGATGACATTCAAGGTAGTATCATGTTTACACACATACCAGACTCAAATTGGCTCTCAGGCCATGCCGGGACCTTCCAGCCAGTCAGGTCAGTCAGCCAGGAAACAACCCCAGGAATGAAATGTTGCCTCTACTGTTCATGGCTTTTTAAAGGATTGTTAAATGGCTTACTTTGCATGGTAAATGCAAAGTAAGAGTGGTAAATGCTGAGAAAATGACAGTTCTACTTATAGAACTGGCAGTCCAGCTCAGGTGTGGCCTTCTAATACACAATTTTCTATGGGATCGAATTTAATGCAAATTAGACTTGCATTGAAAAGTATCTGTGGAAAATATCCTGAGCTGTTATCAACAACAGTCCACACTGGAAATTAGGTTGTGTGACTGAAAGAATTTGCATTTAACTTCCAGAGAAGTATTTAGGAGGAGGACACCAGACAGCAAATCTGAGAAAGGTTTGTGGAAACTGTGCTTGGATGTCCTTAGTAACTTTAATGCAAACATGTATGCCGCTGCCCTGCTCTTGCTTTCACCAACTCCAGCTTTAGAACTGCCCTCCCAGACAACCTTGTAGTGTGAACTGGACATGCCAGTACCACCTTGGTGATGCTCTCATTTCTTGGCGCCATAAGCTCCCTGAAGCAGGGAAAGTTGGGCTATTTGTGGGTAAAACCAATCTTCAAAAGTTCACTGCCGTTACACTCCTGGAATATGCCACCTTTAGGCAGTGTCTCAGCCTCAGACATGACTTGGCCACCAAGCCTGGCCTTTCTCATTTTTTATACAGCTCCCTTGCAGTCGTTGGGCCAATCTTTCTCTCTCAGGCTAACTTACTCACAGGGATGTTTTAAGCATCAAAGGGAAGAAGCCCAGATGACACTCCTTGGAGGAAACAGAGTATATATATGCAAATAAATAAATGATCTGTGTCAACTGTGCTACCTTGTTTATCAGTTCATCTCATCTGTTGAACAGCAGGACTGCTGCTATTTTCTGTGGCTCAGCTGTCATCCAGGCCCTGAGTTTGGCAGTGAAATCCAGGAACCTGCAGCCCAGGTTCCCCAGCGATCGCCTAGAGAGCAGCAGCAGTTGCTGGGGCAGTGACAGACAAGCCTGGCATCAGTACCAGCTCAGGCATCGGCATGGGAACAACACCAGCTCTGCTGCTGGCTGCTGCAGCCCCCTCCTCATCCTCAGTACCGGCATGTAAAGTATAGCACTGGATGGGAGTATAGGCCTATGCATGGTTACAGATGCTCAATTTATCATTATTTTTCCTATCTCTTTCTATGACTTTCATTTCCAAGGTTTTCAGCATCAGGGCAGCAGGAAAAAAAAATTCTTGTGGACATGATGGTGCCATGATCAACATGAGTTTATAATATGGACTTCTGCGCATTAAGGGTATGTCTTTAAAAAGAAATCAGTGGCAGCAAGCCAAATTCTGTTTACTTCCTTGCTCTAACATATCACGAGTGTAGAAACAGTTGTAAAACATGGGATGGAGGAGGGTGAGAGGAAAAGAAGTTAGTTGTGTACTTTACAATGGAAGTAATGCTTATCTAAACTTTCCCCCCCACTGCCTCTGGTTATTGGGATTTCCAGAAGCTGTTTTGTCCAGGGTCTAAAAATTAAGTTTGTGAGATGGCTTCTGTCTCAGGTGGTGGAGAAGGAGGAGATGCCATAATGACGGTTGCCCCAAGCCATGCCAAATAAATCCCCTCCTGCTGCCTCCAGCAGGGGCTCGGGGATGGTGCCATCCTTCTGCCATGGCATTTGCCATGGGGGGAGAGCAGAGTTGCCAGTTCTGGAGAAGCCACCAGCTAGGCAGGGCTAATGGATGTTCCAAAACACATGCCACAGTGAGAGGACAGCCAGATAGCTGACCCAGAGGTGCGGTCATAGTAAGGGGAAGGTGTGGAGGAGCCTGCCATGAAGTGAGGAGAAGGGGTCGGGTGCAAAAGAAAGGGGTGCAGTGCAGTAAGGAAAGGCAAAGGAGCTGTGATGTGGTGATGGGAGCACAAGGAGCTGGAGCACATGTTGCAATAGAGAGAAGAGAAGGGTGCATGCCCTGTGGAAGTGGCAGAAGTGCGGGCTGCTGAAGTTACCTGGTTGCACCCGTGAAAGGGAGCAATGACCTCACTAGAACCTAGCATGCCAATTCAAGTTAGAGGGCAGGGAACCTCTGTAGACTGCAAGGCAATCAGATGTCCACAACTGCCCACTATGGGTATGGATTAAGCTGGGAACAGCCATACAAGAAACAAAGCCTGTTTACTTTCTTTGGCTTCTGGTCAGGAACAGTGCAGCTGTCTCTGTCCTTCACTGGCCAGAACAGCGTGTGCTTCAAAGAGGACATTCCCTGGGCAGCGTCCCAGCTGGTTCCCTGTCCAGACGCTCCATAAACTGTTCTGTGCTGCCCTCTGGAGGCTGTTCGCTGATTTCCTTTCGTCTCATTAATGTTGCTGCAGCCATAAGCTCCCTCTCAATTTCTTGTTCCTTTCTTTTCCTTCCTTGCCTTCTTCAAACATTGTCATTGTCACTGAATGAAATGTAGAAGATTTCACTTTCTAATTTTACAGCTCTGTGCAAGCTGCGCCTGGATTGATATTTGGCAAAGCAAAGAGGACAAAAATACAGGAGAGAATGTAGAGGCAACATAGAAATCTATCTTACATTGCCAAGCCACCGTTTAGCTCATTGGTGTCTGATCTAAATTATGGAGGTTGGGTGTCCAAAACAAATTCAAATGAGTTTGGATTTCTGTGAATCTGGCCTCTGGATGTTCTGGCTTTATCCAAGTCATGAAGATTCTGCAGACTTTCAGATGCGTTTTTCCCTTCTGAAGGTGAGATTTCACTGGTGGGATTCACCAGTAAAATGAAATTCTGGTAAAACAATCCATTTCTGCCAATGACCAGATAATGGGATGAAAGACAATACATGACACACAGATGAATACATTCAGCAAAATCTGTACAGCCTAGCTTAAATCTCTGGCAGTTGCTCTGCAGAGTTTTGGACTTGGGTCTTTTGCAGTTGTACTTGGGGATACAGGAGATGGAAACTGGGAGACCCAGTTTTGCTTACAAAGCAGGTGCTCTCCCAGTGACCTACAGTGCTCTCCCTGTTCTTTCTGAGCTTAGCCACAATCCTCACAGTAGCTGGGGAATGGCAGAGTGAATTTTGTCAGCAACACTATACAGTTGTGAGATACCTCTGCTGCAATACAAGTGCTTGCAGTGGCTAGGTCTGGAATGGGTGATTAAGAATCATTAGCTCTACCAAAGACCTGCTCCTGGAAAAGATGAAAACTGCTTGCATTGTTTTATGGACATGGATCAATAGAGTTGCCTATAGTTTGAGCCTCTCCTTGGTGGCATGGCTGTGGCAGCTCCCATGCTGAGAAACGATGCTTCAATATTTAGCCCCTCATCACTGCAAGATAAATGCTGGTATATTCTGGCAGCAGGCTGTGAACAGCGGGTAACTGAACTGCACTCAAAGCCTAGTGCCCATGACCTTGCACTAGCAAAAACAAACATCCATCCAATGTCACTAGTGCTTGAGAATGGGAAAAAGCTGCAATTTGCTGAATTCAATGGCAAGTTGCCATGTTTCTTCTAGCAAGTGGTAGGTATGTTGCACCATCCTCAGTTTATACTCATGCTGAGTCATTAGCACTAGTGTTGGATGCATTTGGGTACTGCCCAGAATGTTCCACAAAGGTTTTTAATAGGCTTTCAGGTCACATAGAAGGTGACATGGCTCTTCAGGGAAATTCTAAAAATCAATTTGAGAAATTCATATGGTATGTGCCAGTTGGAAACTATGAGATGTGAAGGTTACCCCGGACTTTTAAAACTGAAGCTGCATGTCATGGCATACATTAGGAGTCAATGGGGTGGGAAGGTGTTTACTTTTGTGCCCAAGTGTAGTCCTCTCAGTAGGAGCAAAATGAAACAAGTCTTTGATCTGATCCAGGAGAGTTGTTCCTATTATTTTCTTCTGGATGGAGGCTAAGCATAACCTGAGAAATTCTTGTCAGGAAAGGCACTTAAGGTGAGTTGTCAAAAACAAAAACAAAACTCCCCAACAGGTTTTACCATTCTAAAATTCAAAATTCTACTGCTTATAAATGGATACCTGTGGAGCTAGTACTGGGAAACTTGACACTCATCATCTACCTGATGAGCTCTACAAGGACACAACATTTCAAACACAAATGTATTTCTTTCAAGCTTGGGTGGAAGTTACAGATGGACTTTATTCAGGCCTATTGAGGAGGTGTGCCTTTCTTGGTTAGCTGAAATTCTGAGCAGTCATTTAAAAGTCATCAAGGTTTTTCTGCACCATGAAAGTTTAAAGTGGCAACAGCTGGCAAAGTTATCTTGGACATGCTCAATTTCACTCTGAAGCCAGAATCTTGCCTGTTCTCCAGGGCATTGCATCTCATGGTTCCTGTCACATTCTCTCAGTGAATGGTAGCGGGGAAAACCACCTGCTGGGAAGAGTGATGGGTCTGAAGGCTGAGCAAGCAAATCACTCTCACTGATTGACAGGAAGCTGAAGAAGGTTGTGGGGAGGAAAAAGTTGTACCCGAATCCTGAGCATGCTTACTCAGAAACATTTTTTTTCTGAATATACAGGGATGTATCTCTTATTTTATATAGGGGCATCCCCACTTAATGGCTTGTTAATGTTTTTCATTTCCATTTGTGACTAGTGCTTTGCCCCAGAACAATGAAATCATTCATTTCCTGTTCAGAAACCAGGAAAAAGATCAACCCTCTGCTGGTTCAATATTGGAGTGAAGGTTATCATGTGTTGCCTCAAGCTCCACAGTCCAAGACACCAGAACTGACATGCTCTGTGAACAATAGCAACACTATAAATTGGGCATGCTGGAAAACTACAGAGGCTTGGGTCAGCTCATAGAAGGATTCTGCAGAAGGCAGTAAAGCTTTGGTACTTCATAAAGTGACAGAGGACTAAGACCAAATGTGCATATTTGCTGGGCCCAAGTGTTCCGTCCTTTCATCTAACCTTGGACCTAAAGACTAAGAAAAGTGTTGAGTACACAGAGGGTAAATTGGCACAACCCGACATTATGAAGATCATCGCTGCATGGTTTCCATTTCCCCCTTTCTCTCTTTTTCTCTCTTTCCCTCCCTTCTTCCCTGCCGTTCCTCCCTGTACTCTCCCTTTTCTTTCTCCTGCCCCCTTTTCCTCCCTGTGCCCCCTCCCTTTCTATTCCACCACACCCAGCATGGTGCCAAGGAAGGGAGAGATCCTGACTACCTTCCGGGTCATCTTGCCAAATTTCCAAACCAATCCCTTGCAGAGGACTTTTGAAATTGGGATGGGGGACTGCAGGATAGATAGGGACCTATCCCTGTAGTTTATTGAGAAATGTAATAACTCACATTTCTCCTCCCAAAAAAGTCACCCAAAGCAATGAAAAAGCATAAAAACCATAACCTATTCTTCGAACTCTGCACATGCTTTCCTGGGAACTAGCCCATTGAACTCAGGGCATTTACTTCTCAGTAGTTCATGTTTGGGATTGCGGAGCAGTAAGCGGGTCAACCAAAGGGAGGGGTGCTGAGGGGTGCGTTTGAACAGGGAGAGACGTGGCACCGCATCCACGCCTCAAGCAGGAAGTGCTACAAGTAGGGTCCCCACTTTAAAAAATCCCAAATAGATACATACTTTCCCAGTCACACCATGTGACATTTACTCCCGATAAAGCCTGGGCAGTTGCCTCCTTTTGTGCAAACGCTTACCTCAGAAATTTCTCTTCCTGCTACACAATGGCGTTTTCTGGCAGCAGCTGCCGCTGCCTGGGCGGCATTCCAGGCTCTCGTGACATTTTGGAGCTGGCCCTGGAGCAGGATGGGAGAGCCGGGATGGACATATTCAAGGCATTATCTCCAGGACGCTGTCTTTAAAGGCAACAAAAGCTCAGCTGTTGTTTCTAAAGATGGCCCACACATACTCACTTTGGTAGCCGTTACCTTTCCAAAGGTCAATGGGGCGGTGCAGCTAAATGATCCCTTTGTTCAGAGAGAGCTGAAAATGGAGAGGAGGTATTTTACTGAGCACAAGGTTGGATTTGACATCACGTTTTAAAGTCAGGCATCTTAAGACCAAGCTGTGAGACACCCCACTCCCCATGTTGAGGCAGATTACCAAGCAGCAGGGTTGTACGTGTCTCCTGTCTAAATGAAGGACTGACCTGCTGCATTCCAGAAGATGAGCAGAAGAATGCAGCTCTTTGGTGCAAAGAGAGTTTCCTGCCTGGTCCCTTGGAAACTTTTGCAGACACAGAACTTAGGGCTGATATAATTCTAGTTATTTTTTTTAAATGTAGGAAATAAGTACTTTGAGTTCCATGTTGTTCAAGGGACCTGACATGACATGCCTTGATCTACTGTATTTAATGGTGAGGTTTGATAGAATTAAAGGCAGCATTAGCAGCCTGCTAGGGATGGATCCATGAATCTTCCACTTGAAGCCTCAATCTCTGGGAGACAGCCTGCACCATCACCTTGCAATCCATGGGCACTTGCTGAAATAAAAGTATAGGGGCCCTGATGATCTCTGGTTTAGATGGATTTTGTCCATATATATTCTACCTTCTGGAATCCTTGAACTTTCCAGTTAGTTCCCCCCCACACACACACACACCCTGAAATCAAATTTCCATCTCCCCCTGCCCATATATTGCTTTTTACAAGTAGGAATTTCCTTAGAAGAAGCATCCTTTAGTTCTGTGTATAACCACCCCCCCCCCCGCGCCAATGTCACTTCTGGGGTGACTTTATAACTGCAGAGAAAGTGCCTGAGCCTATAAAAAGGTAGAATCCTACAAGCCTTTACTCTCACTGAGGTTGCAATCAGCATAAAAATAGCTGATTAAATAAAAATAGCAGTCAGCATAAAAATAGCAAAAAATGGAGTTCCTTTGCAAAACAATGGTTCTACTAAATTAAAAAAAATCATAGCATGGCTTTCCCTTAATGGAATTTCAGTTTATTTGCACTAGGTTTTAGCTTCTAATCTTAGCTTTAAGATGAGATCAAAATGAACTGAATTGAACCCTGTTTTCCACCTTTTTAGGGCCTCTGTTTGGGGATCATAAAGTTGCCCTACTCAGCTTACCCTATGGAGCTTCTGGGGTGACTTTGTCACCCAGGCATTTTATATTAAAAACAAACCCCCCCCCCCAAACTGTTAAAAGTAGGAAGCTGACTTTTGGGTACATTTTAAGTGAGACTTCAGACAAGAATGAGTTGGTAGGACTATCCATGTGTAAAGTATTGTATAAAATGTGGGCCTGGGGTACTAAAGTCACCCCACCATATGGCAACGCACACTTTTCAGCATATGTAAATTGGCATGTGCAAGCTTGTACTCCCCTCACCCTGTTCTGTGGGCCTGAGATGCAAATCTTGTTGCTGCAAGGCTTTAAGTTTCAAACTTAACACCCAGGAGAGTTGACCACTGTGTGTTGGGGAAACTCATGAGTGCTTTTTGCCTCCATATCTCCTTTAAACCACTAAAAGACTACAATTTTGTCAATTCAAAAACACAAATCCATTGGATATTTTCTTTGTCTAAACTTTGGGGATTGGGATTTTTCCAATAATTCAAAATTTGTATCTTGCTAAATTCAAAGAATATATTAAATGCTTTTCATTAGCAGCAGATGCATCTCTTTTTCAAGGTAATAAATTTGACAGAAATCTGAAAAGCATTGGAAAAAGAACAAAAAGGCATATTCTAGTATACTAGATCATTCTACCATTGCATGTAGCATGAACACTGGAAACAACAATTGATAATACTGGGATAGTTTGTATCCTCTTTTAATAATATCCTTAAGATCATGGTGTTTAATATCATAAAACTGCACTAGCTCTCATATTTTTAGTTGAAAATTATAGGGTCTTTTTCTCAAGAATCTATAACATCTGTCCTGGAATGTGTTTAGACTCATCTTCAATGTTGTTTGCTTGCGCTGTGAGAGCACTACAAACTATCTGAGATATTTAAGTGCTCAACTAGGAATGTTTTTTGTTAACTAATAAATAATCTGAAAAATCCCAGGGTGGACATAGAGGTGCAATAAAAATGTCTAGACGTGTTTTCAGCTTAGCTCATTTCTGAATCTTTGAAATGATCAGAGAATATTAGCCATTGCTGAAAATAAATTAATGCACCACACTTTTGCTCCCTGGTGGGAGTTGGCTGTTGTGAAAGCCTATTTGCTGGTGATCACAACTCATAATAGTACATGCACCATGCATCCTGAGAATGTTCTTCCCCTACTTGTGAAGGTGGAAGCAGGAGCAGGAATAGACTCAAGGCCACACTGTTTCATGAAAGAAACAGGAAGAGAAGAAGGAGAAGATGAAACAGAGAGAAAACGGGTGACAGAAAGAGAAACAGTGATCACTCTGAGAAGCATTTTGGTACCATCAGTCATCAGGAAGTTGTAGCCCTTCAGATGCTTTTGGACTGTATCTCCCATCAGCCCTAGCAGCATAATGAGTGGGGTTTGTAGTTCACCAATATTTGGAAAGGGCTAACTTGTCCATCTTTGGTCTGCTTCAACCAGGCAAGCATTTTATGTGAGGTATTGTTCTGTGATTGCAGGAGGGTATGCCTAACTTTGAAGTAATTATTAATTGTGTGTGTGTGTGTGTGTGTGTGTGTGTGTGTAAGAGAAAGCGAGAGCGAGAGAGCGAGAGAGAGAGAGAGAGCGAGAGAGAGAGAGATAAAAATGTTCTGTGGCAGCATTGCCACAGTACACTGGATTTTTTCCCATGACCCACAGTTACATTTTCTTGTTTACTTGGTTGCTTGTTTTTCTGTGTGGACTCTGTTTCTTGTGGAAAACAGATTATTATGTTAGGACCAGAGACACAGAGGAGGAGTTAATCATTGATCAGAAAGTGTTTTAACACCTAGTGGACCTGCTTCAGTTAGTATTAATGTCTGTTTAGCACAACTGAAGGAGAGAAATCAGGCCTTCTCTTGAACATGCTGAAGATAGAAATATTCCCATTTACTGGGAATTTTGTAGTCCCCCCCATTTGACAGAACAAATGCACCCCCTTCCCATAAAAACATCTAAGCTTTCATCTGATCCAGTTGACAGTGGCTCAGGAGAAATGATGGAGGCAGAAGTTGTTTCTGTCTTGGTGCTTAGTGCCCAAGGCAACCTCAGGTCCTTCACATGGTTTGGACCCCTGCTTAGAATGTCAGACTGGGAGCAGGAGGGCCAGGTGTGAATCCACACACAGCCACAAAACTCATGGGTGTCTTTGGTCCAATCCTCTTCCCACAGCCTAGCTGACTTTAAATGATTATTATGACTTTTTATTAAGTGAGGAAGTGAATCTTGTACACTCCCCTTAACTTCATGGAGGGAGGGCAACTAAAATGCCTATTAGCCATGGCTATCCTACACACAGGAACTTGGGAGTAAAACACCTTACACCCAACAGGGCTTACAGTTGAACAGATGTGTCAGGTTGCATTGCTAAATAAAGAGGAGATTCCTGTCAACCCTGGACTGGACCCATGGACTCCATTCTGCTTGTTTTTGCTCTGTTTATTTTTTCAGGCTCAGCACGCATTTGCTTCCCTCAGCTTTAGGGAAAAATGACTTTGGCAATTTTCCCAGGTACAAGGGACTGGAAACGTCAGCAAACATCAGTTCCCATACATTTATGTACAAGTTTTGGTTCAAGCAGCTCAGAAAGCTGGAAAGTTACCACCTTAACAACCTTTCCAACCTGGTTCCTGCCAGATACTTTGGACTTCAGTTCCCATCATCAACTGGCATCATCAATGTTCAGCAATACTGAGAGACATTGACAAAAACATCTGGAGGCTGGAATGTTGTTCTCCCCCAGTCCCTTGTGCACTCCTGGTACCCCAGCTAGACCTCCCCCCTCCCCAGCATTTTCCTATACTCTGCTTAATATCTGGACATCTGATATTAAGCAGATAACTGTAGCAGGAACAGCTTTTCCCAGGTGGGTTGAAAAGCTACACATGAAATATCTACACTTGTCCTGCAACTGTAAAAGATACAGCAGTCTTCTTCTTTTTGTTTGTTTGCTTGTTTCTGCTTTCATCCATAGATCTTCACAAGCATTTCATCCATAGATCTTCACAAGATTTGGCAAGAGGTGGTAGGCTCAGAAGATAGAGGGGTTCTGAACTGTTTCTAAGTTTGAAAGTTTGTGGAAACACTGCTCTCATTGTTCAGTGACAGTTCTACTCCTTTACCCTTTTTGTCTCTTTCCTTTATGAGACCCTTCCCTCATTCCATTCTCCCCATAATTTAGGACATATTACTATGAATGCTTAGACATTGTTATGCTCAGGCCATCGCTGGAAACTGTATACCTCAAAAGGAGACCTGAAAAGGAGATTAAGCATCTTTTGCTGGGGTCTAATGTACACCTCCAGAGAGAACATGCCCTAGTCTTACATGCACGCACACACACCACTCTCAGAAAGCAAAAGGAGAGTTTACTCAGAAGGAAACACAAAGCTCTTAGCCCCATGTTGCCCAGGCAACTATTGCATCCAAATCTTACTCGGTATTTCCAAAAAGGCGAAGAGCCTTCTGCCTAGTAGCCTTATAGATAGATTGAATCCAACAGGAAAGAGAGGGAGCCCAGTGTTACTTCTTGTCTGTCAGGTGTCCTGCACAGTAGACTCTCAGCAGCAATCCCTTGTGGGGGCAGGAGGGCTGCAAGCATTCCACGTTACAGGCTGGGTGCCAGATCTGTGTTTCCATGTATAAGGATCAAATGTTCTTATATTTCCCCCCTGTGCTTGCTTCTGTGCAAATGGGAAGGCTTCCACTGTTTTTTCAAAACTACATTAATTATTTGATAAGTTCTTGATTGCTCTTGATGACTATAGCAATTGTTGTCTGCTATATGATCATCTCTGATTTTATGGGTGAAAGACATGTTCTTTCTTCATGCTTGCAATCTGCTATCGATGGTACAATTTCTAAGTGTCCACTGTCCTCTTCCTCACATCTTGGTGGTTTATTGTGCCTTCTCAGGACAATTGTTGCCATTCCTTGCAGGGATGTTTTACCTAATCTATTTGAGGAAAATCTTTTCAGCTCATCAATGAACTTTCCTCTGCAAGAATTCCAGTATCCATCATTCCTTCCTTAGGGTAGCCAGGTCATTAGGTCACTCCTTCTACACTTAAGTTTATCCAATGGGCCTCATGGCTTGTGAGCCTGTTCTGTGGCACTTGGCTTACTGCTGATATTGATATTATGTGTATACTCATGGTACAACAGCAGTAGGTTCTACAGCTCTCAGCATTCCTGAACTGACTGGGAACTGCAGGGCTAATTGCTCTCTAAATATGCACAGGACTGCAGGGCTAATTGCCCTTAGAAGTGCAACAAAAACAGGAATCTGACACTGAAACATGACATGATAATGAGATGAAGATGAGCAAGCCCCTTGCCTGACAGTGTCTGTCTTCTGTTTCAGTGATCAATGGACCAAGAACAGCAACTTAATCTTTGCTAATGCTCGCAAGCCCTGAAACCAACCTCCAGGCAGGCAGCAACAGCATGGCTATCCTGAAAGCAGGCCAAAAGCTGAGCCCATGGAGTCACTCAAGACTTTGCCTTATAAAGGTTCCAGCAGAAGTATTTCCAGCTTAATATTCCTGTGTGAAGACTAAGTTGGAAATTCAGTGAAGAAACTAGTTCTTCTGCTCTTCTGGCATGTTAATAAAGAACATTAAAAAACCCTCCTATAAAACTATAAATGCTTTGTACTTGAACCAACTGGTTGTGGGTTCTTAAATAATTAGACACACACGTATAAACACAGAGATAAATTTTTAAAGTATTTTAGTTCAGTTTCTAATTGTTGACTCCTCATACATTTGCTTATCCCTTAGAGTTGTGCAGTGTCTGCAGTTCTGAATCATCCAAAAAGGATGGCAAAAGGGGAATACCAATTTACATAAATTTGGCTAGTTGGATAACATCTGGAAAATCCCAGCAATGGATCAGAGCTCATCTCAGATCAAGGGAACTTTTATTCCTACATATTTTGATGGTTTCTCAGAAAAAATGATTTCCATTCTTGAATGAGTTGATTCTATCAAACTCCTGCAGAAAACCACTAAAACAAAGCTTTATCCTAAAAATAGATCTTTATTGTATTGTGTTGTGAGTAACTTAATGGTCCCGGAGTTTCAAGTAAACATTTCTCTGTAACCGACCCTTCTCTTTGCATGGATGCCAGGACTTGCTTGCGTAGGCAGCTCTTTCCTCTCTTCTGTCTGCAGTTCTTCCTGCCTCAACCTGTTGAAAACAGTCTTTTTGCTTTTATTCTTAACTTCATAAAACATGGATTTTACTAAGGAGTTGTTGCTCTGCCATTTTTGTAGTATGCTGTACTCAATGCGACTCTAGAATCTCTGTTTTGTCTTGAGAGGGAATCATAAAATCCTTCTCCTAAAAATTCTTATTTATCCTTTCCCTCAGATAGACCTGCTGCTATGGTCTCTCCTAGGAACAGAAGATTCTTTGAAGTCACACCCTCAAGCAAGTCTAATATAACTCCATCTGCTTCCTTCCTGATGTGGGCCTGTGATCCGACACATCTGGAGGGCACTAGGTTGAGGAGGGCTGGTCTGATGTATCAAAGATTTCAGGCACCAAGACAGCCTTACAGCCTTGTCTTCTCTCGAGAAAGCCTTTCCCTACAACTTTGGACTGACTAGGCTGGATCTAGATTAAAGATGCAATCATAAACTAAATGCTATTGAAGTGAAGATCCATTGACACTGTGGGACATCCAAGGAAATGTATGCAAGATTGCACTGCACATTTGTTATTGCCAAGTTCCATTGAAATAAATTGGGACAAATGCATTTTAACTGAACTTTCATTGATTTGAGTGGGAACGAAACACGGGCAATATGGTTCGGAACCAATGTGAAGTGGAAAGCAAGATGCACATATCTTCAAAAGCACTGGCTATATGCACAACGAGTGGTGAAGCAAACTCTTGAAACAGAAGGTTTCTGGACAGGGCCTCAGTTGGGCCTGGTGGTCTCTAATGGATTTAGGGACTTTTTAGCAGGTCCAGGTCAGAGTCCAGTGCAAAAGTTTTTTACTCCTCTAAAACATCCTTCCCCATTCTGGTGGCCTTCAGAGGCATTTGGACCACATCTTTGAGAATTCCCATGCAGCTGGGCCATTGACGGGGAATTCTGAGTGTTAAGTCCAAACAGACCTGAAAGGCACAAGGGTGGGGAAGGCAGTTCAAAGAGGTACCACTTGAAACAAAGCAGCATGGGGGCAGGACTAGAAACCATTGCTATGGGCTCCAGAGGCCCATTTTGATACCAAGCACCCTTGGCATGCCTTAGGGCACAACTCCAGGCATGTTTAGACAGGCTGGCATAGGCAAGTAGGTTTAGGACTTTTCCCTATCTAAATGGAAAGTGACAACATCGCACCATAGCAAGCCCTATGGTGAAATAGTACAAATAAATATTTCCAGAAAGTTGCAGAGCTAGTTAGTGGCAAGTCCCATCAGAAGTGTGCACCTGTAGGTAGTGTGTTGTAATAGCTTCAGGGCCAGTGTCAGAGAGACTTGGGTTCAACAGCCTTCTCTGCTATGCTGCTTGGTGGGTGATTTAGTTCTACAGGGTCATTTTGTCTCCACCTATCTTGCAGGAATGTTGCATAGATGTACAAGGTAGGGCAGAGTGATGTATACCAGCCAGAGTGCTTTGGAGCAAGGGTGGTATGAACATGACATAAATATTGCTAGCTTAAAAGAAGCCAGTTGGTCCAATGCACTCTTACCTGCAGCTCATCCCATCAGAGGCCATGCTGCCGGTGGCCCTGCTGTGCCCATCGCTCCAGTCAGTCACTGCAGTTGAAACCCCCTGCCTGTATTCTCTACCCACACCATAATAGCAGCATGGATTAAAATGCCAGGCATTGTGATGGTTAGACTATAGAACTGTGTTCTCATAATATCTGCTCTAAAAATACATGGGAGAACAGGTGCAAAGGCAGCTCACTGGTCATCCTCTATCCTCTGAGAGACACCCCATGCTCAAGTCAACCTCTTCAGAGACAAAAAAGCAATGCCCCAAAGAAGAGATGCTTAACAAAGGCTGCCTCCATCAATCAGGACTGGTATCTTTCTTAGCCCTCAATTTTCTATGGATTGATGACCCCGAAAGTTGTAGGACTGTCCACTCCTGAACTCCCCTTCTGTGCTCCCATCTCATCAACTATGACCTATAACCTCCTGCTATTTGCATTCAGACTCTGCTATGCATGTACCCTTCCAAATAATATCAGCCCAGACCTGTGCTCTGCCCAAGTTCTGCATAACTGGAAGCAGGGTGGGTACACTTTCATTGGGAAATATTGCCACATTAACAACAACAACAATGCATGCATGCAGTATTTTCCCTTAGCAAGGTCCTCTATGCTAGTCCACAGACACCTTTCCACGATTTTGTTAGCACACTGGTTGAGATTGGTGCAGAGCAACCTCAGAAGTGAAGCACCAGCTGGGAAGAGAAGTGTCTGACTCCCATTTTTCTTCTTGATTTTCCAAGAAGCACCCTGGCCCATTATTTCTGTTGCTAGGCAAAGTCTCTTATTCACTATGGTTATCCACAGGCTTTGGGCTATCCCACAGAGGAGTGGACCCCCTGGCCTTCGCCCAATGGCACATACTTTGCTGATGTCCATGAGCCATTCAAAATGTGAATGCTAGTGTGTGTGTGTGGGGGGGGGTCTGCATCCTCTTGTCCATACAGGAACCTGATATGCAGGTAACATGTGAATACAGCTACAATTGTGGCCCAAAGGGCTGGACGCAGAGCCAGAACACAACAAGGTGAAGCTAAGTTTGTACCTGATGCTTTTTAACTGGAGGTGACAAGGACAGAACTTGGGACCATGCAAAAACTTATGCTCTTTACCTCTGAGCTATGCTCCTCCCCAGTCAAAATGTGTTCCTCTATAAGCTTTTCCACAGCACCAGCTTCTGGAATTTGAAAAATGAGCAAGCCATCAAACCCTTTTAAGCTTCCCTCACAACATACGGATTTCCATGTATACTTTGACCCCATGGTGGGGAGATCAGATTCTGACCTCAGCCTGCCTAGTGCTGCCTTAGCTCCCCTTTTTCTGGGTCTACCCTTTGACTCCAGCCCAAGTCACAATAATAAAATATAATTAATGAAAGTATTAATATTGATAAAATTAATATCAGGTATGACTGTCAAAGTTTGGCAGTCCTGGTTTCAGTCAAAGAATTAGAAGACCAGGGGGAGTTTGCAAGAGGGCAGGTGGATATCGAATAGGGACTGTCTACAAAGCAGGTTAAAAGGAACACCATGTCGAAAACCAACAGCTCACCTGCAGTTCACCTTGTTAGATCACAGCTGTTGGAATTTTCATTTGTAACATGACCAATAAAGTGGCCGCTTCTTACAAGAGCTGTTAAGAAATAACTTGTGGAACTAGGATCCCAGAACCAATGCTGGTGCAGGGCCACACTTCTATTGCTGCTGCAGCTACTGTTGCTCCTAGGCTGCCTTTCCCCTGGAAGTGGCAGGGTAGGATCGCTTAGGTTTTCCTTGGGGACATCCTATGGGTCCTTCTCCTCCACAGAAATCATGGGACTTTTCTAGATCATAAGCCTACAGGCCAGACTGTATGGCTTTTAGGTTAGATGCTTTTCAGTATGATAGGTGCTTATAAATCAGCTATGACTAGGATGATGATGCAAATATGTGTCAGCAAAATGCAGGAGAAAGTGGATCTGGTTACGTTTTCTTGATCCTGCTTAGCTGCAAGAACACAAGCCTCAGTGTTGGTTGTTTCACTGAAGCTGAGCTATGCAGCTGATTGCTTGATTTGAAATTGGATTCTGTTTGATTGATTGAGTAGCTTAGGACTAGGCAACCTCAGAAGGTTGGATGCCAGTGCAGGGAAGGTTTGGGGTGGGTGGGGACATGCCAGTGTTAAGAGGAGCTGAAGACACATAGCACAGGGCCAAAGGTAAAAGAGGTGAGGGGAAAAGTTAAATTAAATGCCAGCATATTTTAGCCTAAATTTTTTCTGTCCAGTAACTAAGCTTTAGGAAAGGCATTTGAACCTTTCGAACTGGGGAAAAACTGTACAAAAGCTGGGAAACTACCCTATGGTGGGTGGTTGTGGGGAAGGCTGCAGGGCCATGGGAAGGGCTCCTGGCTATTTGAGAAGCTCTGGAGGACCACATGGAGACCCAAGGAGGATGGAACTGGACCATAGGCCTGAAATTTCTCACTTCTGGATTATGTTTGCTGCCGCCTTGCTGGTGCTTCTCGGATGCTTTGGATTTCTGTCCACATTTCTGTCTATTGGCCACCTTGGGTTGGCTTGCTTGGAGTTGAAAGAGTGGCAGCTTATGAATCATCAAGAAAGAGAACACGCATAATCAAAAAAAGAGGACAATGATTTGCATAACATTCGAATAGACAGGCATACATGCATTGGTGACATATTGAAATAATTTGAATAATGTAAATGCAAACGCATTACATCTGATTGTCCTATGGAGGCCTCTGATCAGGTGACCTCTGTGCTCCTCCTGCCCACTCTGCTGTCCAGGGTTTCTCTATTGATGGACAACCATTCACACCAGGAGGCTGGTGTCTCCTATGTCATGGGGCTCCTTGCCTATTGCAGCTTTTCTTTTGAGTTTTATGGGTGCTCTCCAGGTTGCTGAACTGCACCCCAAAAATAGGCTCACTACAATAGGAGCATCATGGGGCACAATAAAGCTCAAAAGCTGCAATGGATGAGTAGCTCAATTGCTATAGGAGTCATTAGCCTCTGCTGGTTCTTATGGCCATTAAACTGGACTTGGATCGGACAGCCTTCCAAAAGATTTCTTCATAGTCCTCTGGCAGCCCTTCAATTACAGAGCCACCCCCTGTAAAAGAGGACATGTGACCACCCTAGCTAGAGTCTAATGCATTTGGTGAGGTTAGCTGATCTGTAGAATATATGCTAGGTATTGATAGGTATGTACAGAGAGTGTGACACACAATGTGCACAACATAAAGGCAGTGTGGTGAGTGTGTAGTGCGTACAAAGTATACACATTGTGGGTATGTGATCTATATGTGGACATCTCCTGCACTGTGAATACAGGCGTACCCAAAGGGTGTGTGTGTCTGTTCTATTTTTACTGACCAGTTGCTGCCCGTCTTCAATTTAATATTCCTATTCTTTTCTCATCCCCTCACAGTCCGAAAGCTTCCATCCTCCAGTCACCACCTCCCTCCTGCCTGGACTGCACTAGGTAAGGTGCTGCAGCAAACAGCTAGCCTTGGGGAATCATGCATCCATTAACTGTGATAGTTTATGAGATGGAACAGGCCGAAAGGAATTATTCCTTTATTTTGCTCAAGGCAGATGAAAGATTAGCGGGCTAACAAGATTGGTGGGGGATATAGCCAGGCAAGTGCCGTTTAAACCAATTGCTTTTGCAAAGACAGGGCCACATAAGCATTAATGTAGTTGTTGGCAAGTTGAGATAATTTTTTTATTATGATTATCCTGAGCACCTTGCAGATACTAGGCAGAGAGAATAGCAAGAAGCTTAAGGGCAAGTTTTGGCTGTGAATCTCTAGATCCTCAAATGTTTGCACAAAGGAAAACTTCCTGGAGTAGATGATCTGTAGTGGAAAAGATAATGCACAAAGTGTCTGACTGTGTAATAGTCTGCAATAGGGTCTTTAGAAAAGGGCATGTGTAAAAAATAAATAAATGGATTTGCTCCTTCATCAAATTCCAGCTTTTATTCAGCTCTTATAGAAGAATTCTAATTATGTTAAGGATTTTTGTGTCTGTGAAGACACACCTCTATAGTTGACCAAGTATTCTACACTGAATTTGCCTTCTCTGTGTTTTTGAGGATGCTTGTATTCTCTTGACTGCATAACATAAAGAAGCCAAACAAATCTGCTGCCTTACCACAGACTTATGAGAGAATTTTGATTAGAACTGATCAGAAACTGAATTGGAGGAATTATTTATTTCTGAGTGCTATCCATAGTGATCCCCAGGCATCAAGAGAATTCATTTGAAAGAGAAAACATAACCAGCTCAGAATGTTTCATTTACAGATTCTGTGTTCTCTCTGTGCCATTCATGGAATTGGTGTATTATTTGTGTTATTCTTTGCATTGCTGCAAAGAAGGGCATAAATATGAAACAATTTAGGAAAAAAACAGGTGTGCATATAAATCCTCAAAATGATATTCTTCGGGCCCCAAGGGAGCTGGAGTGCAAGTGAGACTTTTGCATCAGCACAAAAGAGAATCATACTGTTGCCAGTATTGTAATTATTTTGGAAATACTGCAATATGTGAAATTAATTAAGCTCCTCTAATCAAGGGAATACAGGAGAATCAAGGGATTCATTGAACCTAAATCCAAATTCCACTTGATTTAAAGTTATTTATGGTACTTTCAATGACAACAATTTTGCCAAAAGCCAAGAAACCTATAGCTGAGTTTGACCTTAAATGCAGGTCTTTTAGGGTATCCATCCAATTTCTTATATTTCTATCTTGCCTTTGCACATACAGAATATCTGAAGTAAAGCAGAAAACAGATCTTCAAATGCATACTAGTTTTAATCAAATTACTTTTACACAAATTTCACTTCTTCAGTGTGAATCTGTTCATTTATTTAAAAGTTATGTGTATAACAAACGAGTGTAGTATTTGATTCCGTCCAGGGAAGTTCCTAATGCCAAAAGTAGCAAACAAAAGAAATATTTTTTACACCATGAAAAAATGAGACATTTGTATTTGGAAGAAGTTGAATTCTTGAGGCCAAATGCTGAATGGTTGGCATGCATGGAATTACTCTGTAATCCACATTCTGTTTCATTTTTTCTTTCTTTATTAATGACTGCCTTTCTGTACATCTCATCTTTGCTCGTACTGCTCTGCTATGGTGGCAGCAGTTCATAAACAATAGAAGTCTTGGCTTTCAAGTGTTGAAGAATATAACACTCCATCTTGACCTGAAGTCTGCATTTCCACCAGATGTTAGGCTGCTGCATGCATATTGCTTCACTTCATCTACCAATCCTTTAGATAATTCTTCTTGGAACAGCATGGAACATGTCTGAACAGAGCAAGGGAAATCCATCAGGGATCCCTAAATATAGTTTGTGTAAACATTTTATGAGAAAATTGTAATCTCTTGGCTTCTTTAATTAATGGGATTTTACTTGTATGGAGGACTGGTAGAACTACTAGGCCAAGAATAAATTGAATGAAACCATCTGTGGAATAATAATGCTCTCCCACTGATGCACCATTCGGACAGTGTGGAATCCACTATTCAAAAGGCAGGCACGATATTATATGTGCTATGCAATTGTAAGACCTATAAAAAGTAACCAGTCCGAGAAATTTGCAAGGGGTCTGGATTTGTTGGAGCTAACCTATAGATTTTGCAATGGATCACCTTTCTCAAGCTGCATGGAGTCTTATAGAATGTGGGGCTTATGGAGTGATTTTTGAATTTTGTGTATTCCTGTGCAAATTTAGCCACAGAAAAATGCACAAAGTAAAATCAGCGCAAATCTTCCTACAGAGTAAAGCATACAAATAACCATTTATACAAATGTGCAAATTGGGGGATTTGCACCAATTTACACATTTTCAGCCAATTTACACATTTTCAGGAATGCTAATTTATGCAAATACAAAACTATCCAAATACATCCAAATGCTTTTGTGCAAATTCTGAGTCTGTAGGCTGTTGGATGGCAGATTGAAAATCCCTTGAAAATCTACCATTTCGGAACTGCTTTCTCTTTCTGTGCAGACAACCCTACCTTCAAATCTAATGCCATGAGATAGACTGAGTTGCATACACAGTTGAGGCACAGACTGCATGCTGCCAGTCCTATACGTGTAAGACAGAAATGAGTTCCTTTGTCAACGCAGGGTGGCTGCCTTCATGAAACTAATCAGAATAGGACAGTCATAGTGTATCTTTCACAGGCAAAGGTTTGTATAAATAAATTTAGGAGGCTCTTGCATTTAATGTCCACAGCTAGATCATGATTTATGTATTCATCTACTTAAATTTATTATATTCCTATATATCCTTTTACTTTGAGGATGAGCAACGACCGTAAAAATTGTTTTCCTTCATGACAATAATTTTTAGTAGCTTGAGAGTAGAATGGCAGGGCTGGCTGCTTTGTTTAATTTTAAGGTGTATCAAAAACTTCAATGGGACCTGCTCATGTTATTCAACAAAGTTTGCATCAGGTTTTAAATTCTGGGTTTGAGTTTCATTCATTGATGCTGATTATCTTTCTTTCAACTTACAGGCGGACAATTTGTTTGCACAATGCCTGAACCGTAAGTAGGAGATACTAATTTCTTCTTGTTATTTTGCTGGATTGCACTCAATTCACTTGCAGTTCAGAGCTAATCATCTTACTCCTTGGATCCAGTGGTTCGCTTTGGTCCCCATGACCTTATGCATGGCATTTGGGACTTAAAGCAGAATAAGTGTGAGAAATTTCAAGGGTATGCTGCTGAAAATGACACCCTAATGCTGAACCCTCCATCACCATACTCACAATGCAAGTTAGGGGTAGGAAACCCCTATGGAAACCAAATGCGGAGACGGTTGACTCTTCAACCATCTTTCCATTGGTCAAATGACATCATAAGGCACACCCCAACCCAGTGACATTAGTTGGTTCTTGGTCAATATACAGGGTGGATCATCCATACAGGATGGATCAACAAGGAACCTGCTCTGCTATCAACAAGCCTCAATGGGAAGGGGACAAGCATTTAATAAAGCTGCCTAGTCTGACCTGACAGCTGGGGAAGCACTCCCCACCCACCCAAGGAGAAGATGCTATGCAGGTGACGCCACACTTGGCCTCCTTCCAGTGCTGCCCAAGTCCAAACTTGTTTGTATCCTGCATCTGACAGGAGAACTTGAGTCAAGGCAATCCCATGTTGAGAATCATGTCTTGGTTTAATCTTACAGTGCAATCCTAGGAATATTTGCTCAGAAGTAAGTCCTAAAAAGTTCCTTGGTGCTCATTCCCAGATATTGGTCATAGGATTGCAACCATAGTGTTGTTCTTTGTATAAGTAGTAGATCTTGAGAAAACCACCAATATTCAAAATATGTTGATTTTTCCAATTTTTAAGTTCCAATGTTCAAAATCCAGATTCAGATTTGAATGTGAAATGTTTACCCATGAGTTGAAAACTGGATGCTTTAGGCTTGTCGGCATCACTTGGTTGTTTTTATTTTGGCTGGATATCAAAACCTATCAACTTTCAAATATTGTCCAATACCATTAGTGTTATTGATTGCAGTAAAATTAAAAAAGAAGCATAGGCAAACGTAATACCAATGCGTTTCACACTAGCTTCTTGGGCATTTTGGGTTCATTGGAAGCTTATCAGAGGGCCATTAATGAGAAAGCAGCTCTGAAAGCTGCAGGGAGCAATCTTATGCCCCCTACACAGTCTCTGAGGGTCCACTGGGATCCTTCAGATTCCCAGAGCCAAGTTTGGAGGCAGTCTGGCCTTGGGGTGGGGGAGATCTTGAGGTATCTGGGGTCTCTGCAGCCTTCTTCCTTCCCTCTCTGAACACTCACTACATGCAGAAAAAACGCAGGGCGTGATGTGAAGATTGCTTCCACTGCTCCCCCTGTTTGCATAGAATAAAGGCAAGCCTTGAGTCCCTCGCCCTTTTAGGATCACTGCAGTAGGAATGCACCCTCAATGGTTGGCCCAGGTTATTTGAAGGACCACTGTCACCCATAAGAACCAGCATGTACCTTAAGATCAGCCTTGATCAAGTTCTATCCAAACAGGGGGCAGTACAGATAGGACTCTTCATGATGGCTCATCCGTGGAAATCATCTCCATGGGTGCAACTTTAATGGCTTCTGAAGTAAACTTAGATACCAATTTATTTCGAGCTGCTTTAAATGAACATGTAGGGTGCTCTGTATAGTTTATAACAGCTGGTGTGTTAATGTTATCTTTCAAATTTTGAATTGTAGTATATTTGATGAATTGTGTCCCATTTTTAATGGATTTGATGTGAAACACTTTGGGAGGGTTTTGCCCTGAAATGCAGCATACAAATTGAGAAATTTAGAAATAAATCAACTCCATAATACCATTGCTTGTCAACCAAAAAATGCTCACATATGTCAATGGTCTGATATGAAACACTGAATTCAGCTATCACTGGGTGAATCCTAAATACCCAAAGGGAATTTGGGGGAGAATTTTTGGGAATAAATCTCTTTCAGCTTTAGTAAAACTCATAAAACTACGACCAACCACTAGATGGCAGAGAGGAACTTAGGACTTCTGTGCGCAGCTCTTCGACATTTCCCCTGTGGTTTGCCAAGGGAATGTGGTTTTTTTCCTGCCCCACCGAACTGGGGATGGTCAGTCCATCCCACCATTTTGTTTCAGTGAGGCCAACATCCACTGCTGGAAAACCAGCCACCTTCCCAGCAACAACTCTCCCCGCATTCCCGCTTGCACACATGGCTATGAAGTGGGACCGGCTGCGTTCGAGCTCAGCTGTGAAAACAAAGCCATCATTCACTTTGGGAGCCACTGTTCAGAATATGAATACTCCTACTCTATGGAAAGCCCAGTGAGAGTTTGTGATATTTTTATCACAGAGTGTCAAAAGGGTGCAGAAATTCCAAATAATGCTTTAAATTGCATCTTGCCTATGCAATATCTACGTATTTTCTGAGCACAACAGGGGTCGTGTGACATTGGATTGCTTAGCATTTTCCCTTCTTTCCCAGAACTGATCAGCACATGCTCCCAGCACATACTAGCTTCCCCTTTCTGGAATTGTGGGCTCTGTTCATTGATTATTAAGAAATGGAGAATTAACACTCAGCATTATACACAGATTGACCAGAATATTCCATCATCCCCCTGGCACTCCTGCTAACCCAGCAGTGCAGAACCTCATGGACCAAGTCTGGCCTATGTGGGATCCTGATACGGCTCTCTGGGACTTATTTAATAGCCACTACTTTCCTCCAGTTACCAGTCCTTTGGTAGTCTCTAGGTTTTTGGACAGGGTTTTCCCACTCTTAAGGGCTGAGGCGCTTCTTCTAAGGCTTTGTTACTGGCAGCAAGAGCTTCAATTTGGAGGGGGGATATTTTGGCTTCCAAGACCATTTCTAAAATGGAGTGGGAAAGAATGTCTCCCCCTGCCCCATGCCAATTGGACACAGCAGTGTCACCATATATTTAACAAGGTCCAAGTCAGTATCAGCATCCTTGGGCAGTTCCTGGGCCCTAAAGTCACAAGCAGGGTTTGCTAATGTTGATGCCTATTATAGGCTCATCTCCCTGCCTGCATCCTGGAGCTGACTGGGTCACAGTGGTGAGCAGCTGGGAAGCCCCACTCTATATGGGCCATAATAATCCAGAAAGATGTAACACCTGAGCATTGTGGTTATTCACAGTGTTGGAAAGCTCACACCTCATAGTGCAGCCATCCCTCCCTGCTGCCGGTAAGCGAGCTAGGAGGGGGCAGAAATGGGGGAGGTCATTTTGCTAGGGGTGGCCCCACATCTGGAGTCAGGCCTGAGTTGAAACTGATGGGGTTGAGAGCCTGCTGCCTGGAAAAGACAGGTGACAAAGGAAAGTCTAGATCCAAAGGCGTAGCAACAGCTGGAGGGGAAAGGTGAGGAATGTTCCATGAAATCTTGGTCAAATTTGAAGTATGCATGGTTGAGTGGGAGTAGCCCACCAAGACCCATTAGCAAGCAGCAAGCAGTGAAGATAACAAGAATTGGAAGTAGGGACCAGTTGTGGTTTTTATGGAGCGAGTCTCATTGGTGGGCTTCATAAAACAGGGTCAAGTAAGGAGGTTACTGAGGGGGTTACACACTTGCTGGGACCAGTGGGTAGTATAGCTGGAATGGAATGTATTCTTTTTTTTCATAGTGTATCACTTAATTCCATGTTAACAATCTCTTAGGCAGAAGATTATAATTTGTATATTCACCTTGTTTATTCTTTTTTCTCCTATCTTTATTATTTCTTCCAAATGAATTTCTGCAGGGAGGTAAGAACAACTCCTGCATTATTTTTTCTTAAGAATTTTATATATGGCTGTGTGGTCAATTAGCTTTGTTTCTTAATTAGCTTCATTGATTTATTTACTTTTCCTTCACAGAGGAAATCCAAGATCACAGCCTCGCGCAAACTCCTTTTGAAGGTGAGTCATGATGCAATCCCAGCCTTCTTGGACTTGTCTAAACAGAGGCAATGAAGCTGCAATCATGTGATCATGTTAGTTAAAAGGCACTACCTAAAATGTAGCTTGTACAGAAATGTAGCTCTTCCATGCAGCTTTGGCGATTATGTAGGGATTTCTGCCTCATGCCTTGTATGAGAGACCTGTCAGTTCTTTACTTAATACTCTGGTGTAGCTAGCATCTCAGAAAAAAGGCTGCTGAAATATTCCCTGTTGACAGATCTTATACCTTGAAATGCCTTGACCTCTCTTTTTCAGAGTTTGATGCTGGCTAAAGCAAAAGAAGAATGGGAACAAGAGCAAGTAGACAAACAAGGAGAGAAGGAGAGATATTTAGCAGAGAGGATTACACCCCTGCATACCAGTGGACTTTCCTATGCCCAGCTCCAGGTAGAATCTTCTTTCAGGTCTTCTGAAAATTTCGTTTGAGCATTAGAGAGGTCTAATGACCCATAACAGGAGGTTCAGTTCAGATCTCCAGTCAGTTTAATGGTCATTCACAGATGTAGGAAAGATGTCCAAGACAAGAGCTTCTCATTTATATTTGAGAAGTTCTTGCCTAATGTAGACCTTAGAGGTGTTTCAAGTAAATAATGGGAAAAGAAAATAGCCCCGCTGCCATCGCATTGAAGGTATATAAGACAGCGGCCATGGACATACCACAACAAAGGAAGAAATGCATAACCAGAAATGAGGATAAAAGATGGTGCAGTGTTGCATAAAGTTTGCATATGTTCCTTTATAGAGATAGATTTAGAAATAAATATATAACTAATACACCCATTTGTGTTATTGAGTTGTTTGAGTTCCTTGGAAGGAAAAAAGCCAGGCGGGGTGACGAAGGGCCCTGTGCTCCTGCCTGGTTCATTGCCCAGGTGCCAAGTGTGGGCGGGCAGTTTCAAGGCTCCTGCTTTCTTTTCTTTTGGCTCTTTATCTTTAAACTGGACTGTCATAAAGTATATGGAGGCCACATGATCACTTAGGTCAATAGAGGACTGCCTGCTATGAGGTAGGATATGTGGTCACTCTAGGTGGACTGCAGCTTACATCCAGCCAGGAGGCCTGTCCATCTGACCTCTGAAGGCCTTATTAATTTTATGTAATATATGATAAGAATGTCATTCTCCATTACATTCATGAAGGAAAACTCTAATTCGAAATTGCAAGAAAGAGAGAGAGGCCATACTTTAATAATATCTGACTCTTTTTGAATCGATATGTAACTTGTAATTTATGCAGTGCATACATGCTGCATTTTTGTAACTGAGCGTCTGAGCACATATACTGCTTATGCCAGAAGCCTATCACACTAGATGGAGACAATCTGATTTTGGTGCTTAGCCACTCTTAAAGGGGGCCAGGTTGTGCGGCAGTGTAGCAGTGCTGGGTCGCAGACTACTGGCTGAAGGACAGAGAAGTTCCCAGGAATATAGCTGCTGGCTACTGCCAATGTAAGATAGCAAGATATTTTCCTGTGGCTCAGGTATGCAAGTATCAAGAAAAAGATCTAATACACTGAATATCAGGAATTACAATGCCAAGCGTCATGAGAACACCTTGCCAGTGGGAAGCCTTAACATTACTTTGTTATGAGCATCAAAGTATATTTTCCTCCACACCAATTTCTAGAAATTGTCAGTTTTCCCATATTTTCTTCAAAAAAGGAATAGTATTTATGGCTAGATATACTTAGCAAAACAGAGGGCTAACAATTTCAGAAACACCCACTGGCCACTTCCCTTTTTATTCTATAGGATCTGTGCCGGGAGCTACATGAGAAGGTAGACATTGTGGATGAGGAGAGATATGATATTGAAGCAAAATGCACCCATAATACACGGGAGGTAAGAAGAAGGCAAAATTGTACCTGCTTCAGTGCTCAGATATTAACAGCAAATTTGTATTCTTTGCTTTGCTCTGCATTTGAGAGCCCATCTAGAGTTTATAGTACTGGACTGGGATTCAGAAGACCCACATTCAAACCCATGACCATGGAGCTTACTGGGTCAGTCACTGACCCTTAGTTGACCTACCTTGCAGGGTTGTTTTGAGGATGAAATGGAGAGGAGGAATGTAAGCCACCCTGGGTCCTTTGCAAGTGGAAAATTAGGTGCGATACAAAATAAAATATACATATTTGGGATTGGGACCTGGTTCATATGGTAGCCAGGCTTGAAACGATGAGAGTAGAGTTGACTTTTGACTGGTAACAGGAACTTTCAGGATCTCACGGAACTTTCATAAGAACTCTGGAACACTAGTTTGAAAAGAAGGTCAAGGGTCCTCCTTTGTTCTAGATTCTAACTGGGTTGACTTCTGATGTTATCTAATGCCCAGGGATTCTTCTGCTTCAGCTCAGGATCTACTTATTCTGTTATTAGTGCCACAAATACAGTACATGCAAAAGGAAAAGTGGGGAGGGCAGTCAGTGTGCACTTTCTCTTCTGTGCATATTTTTCTTTTGCGTATGGCAAGAGACAATGGCAGTTCCAGGTGTAAAATTGCTACTAGGAATACCTCTCTGTGTCTGGAGAGTCTCTGAGTAGAAATGCATTCCCAAAGCTTTCCTTCCTGTGCTAGAGCAAGATGGTCAGTCCCATGCTTTCTGCTTTAGAAATGACAAGGTTGCTACATGGCTGATTATTTATCTCCTTCTCTGTAGATTAAAGATCTAAAATTGAAGGTGCTTGACCTTCGGGGAAAATTCAAGCGCCCTCCCTTGCGGCGTGTCCGTGTCTCTGCTGATGCCATGCTTCGGGCTCTGCTTGGTTCTAAGCACAAAGTTTCCATGGACCTGAGAGCCAACCTCAAGTCTGTCAAGAAGGAGGACACGGAAAAGGTCAGTGAAGGGAGGTCCCACACGTGCCTGCTTTGCTCAGTGTCACATGTGATGTTCATTTTTGCAGTTACTGTGTAGGAAAGATTATATCTGTTTCATTTCATCCGATTGGCTACAAAGGGAAGTAAAATGAATGCATTTTTATGGATTCTTCCTAACTTTTAAAATCTTAAGTAAGCAATTGCTAATCAAACATTTAGGGGGATAGTTGTAGGGATGTCTTTATTTAGCAGGATGTGTTTTGGTTAACCAATCTAGGATGTGGTATTCGATGAAATTGTTCTACTCAGCTAAAGTTAGAGCAATTGCCCTCTGCAGTCTGGGTTCAATGTTACAGATTCTAGACAACAAGGGTATCAGAATTTTTACTTAATTTTTCTGTTTCCAGCAACTTCTGCACTACTTCCATCTTACTGCATGCTTGGAAAATCAAGCATTTACTAGCAAAAAAAGAGAGATTTTAGTTAGAGAAAATGGGTTCTTTTATTCTGGCAGCTTAAAGTCTGTATGTGGTAAATAACTTTAAGGATATTTGAGATTTTCATTAACTGTGATTTGTACATTTGCTTATCCCAATCCTTATATCATGTCTTGTTATCATGCATGGTCAAGACAGTGCATGACTGATTTTTTTCTCTTCTGAAGGGTTTCCAGAGTCGAGTTAACCACTTGGGTATGTTATCCTTCATTTGGGGCACTTGCTCAAATATTTAAGGACTCAATCCCGTGCATGTTTAGATAGAAAAAATACATCCAATTCCCATCATCCCTTCAACCAACAATGCTGGCTGTGGCATGCTGGGAATCGGAGGACCTTTTTTTCAGTCTGAACATGTATAGGATTGCATCTTAAGGCAATAATCTGAAGGCTGACATGCCGTATTAGGGTCACTGCAGGGTCTCCCTGTACAAAAAGTGATCCCTATCACAGTGGTGACAAAGTGTTTATCACAAAGCCTCCATGTGTTTATCCCATGAACTGCAAATCACACATTGTCCAATAGGTGCCAAGAACATGTGCGGAAAGCATGGAAAAAAACGATGAGGCTTGTGGCATCTTAAAGACTAACCCATGTATTGTGCCATGAGCTTTTATAGCTAAATCCAATGCATGAAGTTGCCTATGGTGATGAGATGGACGCCGGTCTGCAAGGTGAGATCAAAAATGACTGAAGACATAATAAATTCAGAAATTACATGCCATCAATGAAGTTAACAAGATCCATCACAAAGCCTTACCAAGCTCATGAATTAATCCAGGCATTACCCACTGGTGTGGCTAGAAACATGAAGGGGCAAGTCAAGTTGTGAGCACTTGCAAATGTCACCATTAGGGCAGTGAGTGTCCATCATGGGAAATTAATTTTCATCTGCATTCTATGAATAACATAATGTACCTATGCAGACCTACGTACATTTGATTTTCCTAGGAAGCAAAGCTTGTGCTTTATTTATTTAGTTAAAACTTTTATATCCCATCCTACATGGGAAAAATGTCCCAGGATGGCTTTGACTTTGTAAATATGCATGTAAGGAGTTTTCCCTGGAATCTGTGATAAATATCTGCTTTTCCAATATCAAAGGTTAACACAGAATATTTCATAATAAGGAAAGGAACCCATAACACACACAGCCAGTTTTGCAAGATTGCAAAGGGAGGAAGCAGGAGGGCTAATGTTCCGTTTCTTCATCTTTATTACCAGTAAAGTCATTCATACCTGAAAAATGTTAGCATGGGGTAAATTCCTGGGATGAAGCTCATCCAAAGACTATCACATGTTTTAAGCTGTGACATTCAGTTTTAGAAATTACTTTGAATCTGACCTACAAAATATGTCATGGTTTGCTCAGTGTTCTAAACTCCATGAACACCAATGAGGGCCTTTTTCTGCAACTGTCTGAGGTCCAGTGTTGTGAGTAGTTAAAAGCACATGACTGGGACTCAGGCAAACTGGGTTCTGGTCCCTACCCAGCCATGGAGCCAACTGGGTGACTTTAGTCCAGTCACACTCCTAGCCCAACCTACCTCACAGGGTTGTTGTTGTAGGAATAAGACTGAGAGCAGTAGCAGGAGAATGAAGTAAGCCACGTTGAGTCTGTCGAATAACGTAACTGTATATATGTGGCAGCTGTTTGAACATACGCACAATGTGTGTTGGTTCTTAGTCTATAGGGAGCTTGATATGGTCTAGACTACTTTTTGCATGAAGTGGCAAATACTGGGAAAACAGCTTATGTTCTCTGTGTTTGCTAAGGTTTGGTCTGGTCGAGATTACTGGCCCCTTTAAAAGTGCAAAGTTTAGGATTAGACTTTTTGCATGCAGTTACATCCTTATTCCTTAGGACATTTGCACTGACATTCATACTCTTGAACCTTGTACATAGCAATGGCTGTTTGTGATGGGTTGCCACTGGGCAGGGAAGAGACATGAGCAGTAATTTGACAAAAGCCTGGTAGACAGGGATGAGAGTATGTATAATATCTTTCCCACCAAAATCAAATGCAATATGCAAATCAAAACAGCTTGTGTAATTTATTTCTGCCAGTTGTTGGAAGCAGGCACAATGCCGGATGTCAACACAACTCCTGCCCACTGAAAATTCTGCTCAGTCCTTCCTTTCTGGATTCTGAGATTTCACAAGGCAGTGCTCACCCATTTTCAATTCTATCTTTACAACCATGAGCACTTGCCACTTTGTAGTGAGAGCAGACTTCTCAAGAAGTTGAAATCTGTGCACATACAGCATTTGATTACATGGAATCACGCAATGTACACAGTCTCCACTTGGGACATAGAATTTGACCCTTAATATACTGTTCTTATCATACTAATGCATGGATTTAATCTCCTGGTTTCCTTTCACAGGAGCGTCCTGTAGAAGTGGGTGATTGGCGTAAGAATGTGGAGGCCATGTCAGGAATGGAGGGCAGGAAGAAGATGTTCGATGCTGCCAAATCTCCAACAGGACAGTGAAAAGTACTGCATTTTCTTAATTTCTTCCTATCTGCTTAGTATCCTGTCCATATCAGTTTTGTTTATCATCAGCAAAGAGACCCAGTCCCCATATTATGCTGAATGTGCTTGTATTGCTAATGCCAGAAGTAGGAATTCCAGGGCTTTGTCTAGGAAAGATGCTTCACTTTAGATTTGAGCATAGTTAGAAGAAACAAAACAAACTGTTTCAAAGATGATATATAGCTGAATACTGATGAAGTATGAATGCAGACTATAAACATGCAAAGAGGGGAGGGGAGGGGAGTTCAGGGGATGCTCCAAAGTTGCCTGAGTGACAAGGATTTTATAAAGTTCCTCTCTCCAACTATTCCAAGTTTGGAACTATGCTCACAGGCTCTAACTGCTCTTCCTAGGTGAAGCTGCTTCAGTAAACAGCTTTGTTTTCACAGCAAACTATCTGCAAAATAACTGGGGAAAGCAGCTCAGAGCAATTATCTTTCATTCTCCTAAACCAGCTAAAGGCTATAAGGCTTTGATATAGGTTCAAGAAACTCTCCTAGCTTTTGGGCTTTGGGAAACTTCACTATACAACTTGCTGACCCTTAATAACATGCTTACCATTCTTCCAGTAGAACCCATACAATACACCAGATAGTTAGAACTGTAGCACATTCAACAGCATTCTCTTCTATGTCCATAGGGTTGCATGCCCAATGATAACTTTCAATTCGGTATCAGAAGTTTGGGCTGCGTCTTTTTGTCTTAGCTCTGTAAGCAGCACTGCCTGTTGAAGTGAAACAGTTACAGAGCTCTTTGGGGGTGTGCTCTATGTTATCTCCATGGTGGATTGTGGCTTTGCATCTCACACTACCAAAAAAAGAGAAAAAAAGTTTACAGCTTTGGAAATTGGATTTATAGCCCCATGCCATTAGATGTACAAGCCTGAGCATGAGAGTGCCCCATTAACATGCCATCCAGGAGGCTGACTTGCTGGTACAGTAATGGACATACCAGGCAGGGCATTGCATCACAATCTTAGCGATAATGATGTGAAACAATGTTTATTTGCTGAACATACACACTTGGGTTCAAATGTTTAATATTTTAATAGGTTCTGCATGCCATTCAGTGTAAGAAACAGTGAACCAAATCTTGCCCAGTTGTGTGTGAGAACCAGCCACAGTCTTCTTGATTTCTAAAAAAATTTTCCATTGACTTCTGCAAAATTGGATTAATACTCATCCGAGTTAATGGGCTCTTTCTTTAACAACCCTTCTGAAAGTCGTTGTCCTAAATAATCTTTTCCTCAATTCAACAGTATGCACAGTGTAGGATAACAACTGAATGAGATGCTTAGTTTATATTTCCAGACCAAATCATTTGAATGGGAAGCAGGACTAAGTTCAGCATAGGACTTGAGAAAGGGAAACATACTGTAGTCCTGCAAGAATAAGCAGAACTGCCATCATTCTCCTGTCTCACTGTCTTCCAAAACATTGACCTTGAATATGTGTGGTGTCTTTTGTGGCAAGGGATCTGTCAGTCGCCAGCTCCAAGCTGAGAGGGACATAGTGCTCTTTATGCAACAAAAACCAAGTGGCCCATGATGGGTTGCTTAATCTTTCATTGGCTGCGATGTGTGCCACTGCAGTTTTTGAATATTCAAGTCTTCACATAGCCCTAGAACAGGCCTTGGGTTGTGCTAAGTTTGTTTAAGCCTCACATAACCCTGCTGCCTGGGTGCAATGACAAGGCACAATCACAAGTCACAGCCTGAATATTCAACATAGTCACCCACTGGCACCAGCAAGTGCCACAGCCCATAATGACTTAAATAAACTGTGGTGAGCTAGAGCATATTCTGATGCAGATGGGCAGCAATAAACCATTGACTCTGTCACTTGGCACTATACGATGTGTGAGAAGCCTTATACAGACTCAGTATATCCCTCTGCAGAAACTTGACATGTGCCTCTTCTGGGAATATCTGCTCAGGCAACCTGTTTCGTCACCCCAACCATGATACACACCCATTTTTTCACCTTCTTAGAATATCTTCTTCTGCCTGTTTTGTTATTAAACAGGGCTTCTTCTTAGAAATACTTTGTCAACTGGCTAACTCCAATGTAATGAAGCTGTTTTTTGCATTCTCTGATCATTTGTTTCAGGTTCTGCTTGGAAATGTGAAGACCCCCAGTGCCTGCGTACATCTCTTTCCTTTGCCCTTTGGTGTTCCCTTATCTTATCACATGTTCCTGCATTAACTGTACAGTCACTGCATTTATGGACACTGTTAAAAGATTATTACATCTTTGCGCTTCATGCCACTTGACCCCTCATGAGTCCATCAAACCAGCAGTAGAAACATTCAGTATCTTGCTAGCATGAGTCCCTGGAATGACCATTGCAATTATCTTGCAATGTAGCATTCCCTCCAAAGCCATATCAGCTGTGCTGGAGTCATGCCAGTCCTGAGATATGAATGCGTTAAGTACAAAAGGAAGATACTTCACCACACACGATCATCTGTCATGCGTCTTTTGCTCAACAGAAGGCCTGCGGTGTTGCCATAACTGACTGGTTGCATGCAGACAAGGACATTGCTAAGGAAGCTTTGGTAGCCTGCTCTTCTCAGCCAGAAGGTCCTCTGTTCTCTCCATGCCAGTTCTTCTGACTTGTACAGTTTTGGAGATGCAGCCATTGTGTCTCTCTGTTCATTAAAAAAAAATCAAGCAAACTAAACACCCAGCAGCATTCAGGGCAAATATACAAAATGTGTGTTTCTTTTCAGCTTTCTCAAATGCTTTGCATCAGGACTGAAGAGTTCAGGAGTCTGGAAACTCAAAAGCCAACTTCCAGTTTGGAGAAACTCTTAGAGGCCACATTTCAGGGGTGGGCTGGGCCAAAGCAAAAGGGGTGGGTCTCGAATACTAAAAATACCAGCATACTTTTGCTTAAAGGCTTTTCTGCTAGTAGCTAAGCCTTAGCAGCTGCATTAAAGCACTTCGAATATTTAGAAAAGGGCATAGAAAAAGCAAGAAAAGCAAGAAACATTCAGTGATTGGTGCAAGGTGAAAAGGGTGAGGCTAGGGGAAGGGGTGTCATATTCTGGGAAACCCCATGGAGCCAGATTTGGTCCCCAGGCCCAAGGCCCCACACCCCTGTTTTACATGATATTGGTTGGATTGTGCTGCTGTTGGTGATAATACAAAGTTCAGTAGTGGTGGGAAGCCCATGAAGAGGAGGCTCTGAGGGGATCTGTTGGTGACATATAGGTATGTGAGGGAGTGTCACACAGAGATGGGTCGAGACCTGTTTTCCCCAGTGGAGGAGGAGAGGACATGTTCCAGTGGAGCAAAGCACAGGAAACCAAGGTTCAATTTGAATGCCAGGAAGCGCTTCCTCATAGTTAGGACCCCTAGGATATGGAATGGGCTTCCACAGGAGATGGTTGAAGCTCCATTGATGAGGGAGTTCAAAAACAGGCTGGACATGCACATGGCAGACAAGTCATGAGCAGAGCCAGCTGCAGCCAGGAGTCAGACTAGATGGCTAGGAGGCCCCTTCTGACTCACTCTGTTTCTATGTTTCTATGCTCCCTACTCCACTGAAACTCTCTTGAAACATGCCTCCCTTCTTGTGGAATGGCCACTGCTCAGTCGCCAAGCACATGCTCTGCATGCATGGGTAAGCTTCTAGATTTAATTTACTGGTTAAAGGCTCCAAAATAGCAGGGCTAGGAAAAGCCTCTTTCTTGTCTAGCCAGTACTAGGATGGGTGATCTATTGCTCTGCCTTGGTAGAATACAGCTTCTTATATGTTGCAGCAAAATACCAGCTTTGGGTGAACCCGCTTACTGTGAAGGCAAGGCTGAAGCCAGAACAGAAGCAAGCAGCAGAAGTGGTGAAGAAAACTCAGATGAACAATGCAGACATGCATGAAAAACCACTTTTATGCTCCGCCTCCTGGAGGTGCAAACAGCAACAAAGGAAGCCAGGTGCGAGGATATTCAAAACTGGCCTACTCTATATTTTAACTGTTCTGAGGGAGGCAGAAGTTCCACATGTGCATCTACTCCTACCATATAATTGCAGTGATTGAGGCTGGAATGGGGAGAAACTGTTCACTCCCTTTAGAAATTAGTCGGCTTCCCAAGCAGAGCTTATCGGCGTTCTCAGTAGCATGTTTCTCCTGGGAGTGGTTCTGAAAAGCTCCCACTAAACTGCTGCTGACATCCTGAGAATGAGATAAGGACATTGGGAGACTGTTTGCTGTATTTGTACGATGTAAGAATGGAAAGGAGTGAAAAGTGAGAGTGATTACTGTATGGGATGGCCAAAAAAGATGTCAAAAAGACTACCCTTTTGCATAAAATTTGCCTAGGCTAACCTTCATGTCTAGCTGCAAACTTCAAAGCAATTTAAATAGGAGTATAAATCTCACCAAAGAAGTGAAACCTGTGACCAGATGCCCTGTCTGCTTGTTCCGCCTGCTGTCCAACTGCTAAATGTGGATGGGCAGCTTTGGACCTCCTGCTCATCTCCCTTCTCAGGGTTTCTTACACTTTACCTGGGATCTGGGCTTGGCAACTCTTCAAACGTGGGATGTCATCACACAGAAGACTGTGCTCTGCAAAGTAGGATACATGGTCACCCCATTGTTGCCTGCTCAACAACAAAACGGGTGAAGTAATTACCAAGAGAAAAAATTCCCTATGCACATGATCACTACCATCTGTGAACCATACAGGTGTTAACAAGAAAACAGACGTTCTACTACCCAGCTGTATGGAACAGAATCCTCAAACTCAGGTCTAATTTACTGAGGTGGCAAACTTGTTTCTGAGCTGCACCACTGATTGAGTGAGTGGACACTCTTCCATGTATTATGAATAAATGAGCAACCAAAATTGCCACACAGGTAAAACAAACACATCAGGGAGAAAGCTAGGTTAGAACCTTGTTCTTGATACTCATTGTCTCTGCATAAGATTTCTCTGAGTGGGGGAGCAGTCACATGAAGACTCCCTCCTCACTCACTTACAGGGTAAAATAGCAATTCCTATAAGAGTTCAATCATACAAATTAGTGAGAATTAGGTATATAATAGGGTTGGGCCAAGTAATTTTACTGCCTGAGGTAAAGCGCCCTTCTTCCAATTTCACATACCACACCAGTTGAATCATGCAGCAACATGGTAATGAGACAGTAGCTTCCAACACACCAAAAGGCAGCATGAGAGCTTGGGGTCACACATCTCAGTCCTCTAATACCCCAGGATCATTTCCCAGTCCCTGACATCATCTATCCTCCACACACTCAAAATTCAAAAAAATAATTTCATTGACATAATTCTGATCATTCCATCTCTTACATGCAACACCACCAAGTTTGCCTTTTCCTAAGCACTAATCCCATCTCTGGTGGAGACTTTGAGATTAGTGCTTAGGAATTTCTGGTCTTTGGCACTAGCAGTTTCTGTTTCTAAAATGTTCATTTTGGCTGAGCTTTAAGCACTGGGCAGAAAGTAATTCAGGTGACTAGCAGCAGATGGCATTCTTCTCCATATAACATAGGGAACTAGTCTGGGAAGCAGGACTCCTGCAATGTCTCATTGTCATTGCCTTAGCACAGTATTCTTCAACTGTGGTATCCTACAGATATTTTGGGCTATAACTCACTGCATTCTTGGCCATCAGCCATTCTGCCTGGGGCTGATGGCAGCTGTAGTCCAAAATATCTTGAGGGCACCTGGTTGGGAAAGGCTGACTTGATATAAGCAGGTTCCCTAATGACGGCTTTATGATTCACTGCTTTATGAAGCACTGTCAAAATACCTTCATCAATGTTGACAATCAAAGGAACTTCAGGTCTTTTTTTGAGGGTTACTAAATTGGGATTTGTGCTACAAGTCTCATGACTGGGATGGTAGCTTCTAGCTGAGAATTTCTGTAGCTATGCAAAGTGCTTGCTCAGGCACTTCTCCATGTATCACACATGGAGCCCTTTCCAGACTTCAGGTTCTACCACTACTGCAGAGGCTGCTGTGGAAGCTCTCCAGACTTACCAAGCATTGAGTGGCTTTTCAGGGAGATGCTACTGTGAGAAAGAGAGCCTTCAAAAGACATGAATCATACATGGGTGCTTCTGCACTTGCCTATGGCTCTTCTGATCCTATAAAAAATATTTGTGCATGACTGTAGCCAAAGGCGATTTGAAGAACATGTCTCCCATGTCAGTAGCAGAAAGAGAAGGAAAACACTTGACATGGGAGATTTGTCATCAGATCTCCCAATGCCTGAGAAAGTTCTGTGCAAGCCTAAGTAAAATGGCATGGAAGTTGGTGAAGAAGAGCATCGTGTCTGCTGAAGTACCCTTGCCTATGCAGTGTCAAGTAGGAAGAAGGAAGGAAGGAAAGACAGGCAAAACAAATGGGCACAGCACTTTCGAAAGTGTCTTGGCAGTTTCTGTATCTCAATCAGTGTTTGGGTGGGCCAATAAAGCCTTTCATTGTGACTCATCAGTTTACCTGCTGTGGGGTTTGCCAGCTACATGCTCGAGTTTTTCTATGTCCTGGGGAAGGGAGGGACAATTTTAAGTTAGTTTGAATCCTTCTGCTCCCAGTACTGCAGTTCCTTTTTAGTGAGAAAGGAAACTTAAATCCTTAAATATGCTGAAGTTCATATTATGTACCTACCATGAGCTTTCCCTGAGAGAATATTTGATCCTAAGCAGTTTGTACCTCAATTGAACATATTTTCACCTTGTTGGGCATTTAGGCACAAACCATGTTGCCTGCTGGGCTGCAGTTTGCCAGTAACTAAGTTCACAGAGTTCTTTGTTCATCATAGAAAAATGTGGCCACATCATACCAGAAGAATGCAGTTAATAGATGTGCCAGTAGCCATTCTGGTCTCAGTTAGAGAAACTGCTAACATGTTCCTCAGTCCAGTCTGAGGTTGAAAATCTGGTTAAACTACTATAGGCTTCACTACAACTATTTATTATTAATATTATTAGCAGCAGAAGTACTGCTATTCCATCTAATCCATGATGCTTTATAATGTACAAGAGAAGTATATCCTCTTGCCCTCAGGTGTTTAGAGGAAATGGAGATACAAGTAAAATTGTGGAGAATATGCATTTATTTCATAATTACATGTACTTAAGTAGAGCATTCCAGTGAAGGAGTTGTACCAAAGATTTGATAAAAAAGGTGTTTTCTGAAGAAGAGAGGTATCAAGAATCAGGTTCAAGACATACAAAGCAATCAGGGAGAAAGGACAGGGTTGTCTGAGGCACTGGAGACATTTGGACTTCTGAAATGGTG